CACCTTCAGCTGCACAATCATTTATTAATCAATATAGATTATTACATCAACCAATACTGGGCGGACATAGCCCCTTCGCGAGAAGGGACTTAACTCCTCCAGAGCTGCAACTTCAAAATTACCTTAAAAAACAAGTCAAGGAAATTAATGAAAAACACGGAAATGGTACAGCCTGCTATCGTAATCTTAAAATTCATTATAAAAAGTCAGTGAACATGGATTAGGATATAGGGACCTCACAGATAAACAATCAGAAAAATAAGGAAAAAATTAAAAAATTAAATTGCTTACTCTTGAATATACGCTCCATTAATTCAGAAAAGGCCGCAAATAAATTATTTGAGTTAGAAAGTTATTTAATAAAAAATAATATTCATGTAGCTTTTTTATGTGAGACATGGCTAACTGATCATATATCAAACGAATCCCTTCTCATTTCTGATAGCTTTGACTTTATGAGAGTAGATAGGTTAAAAAGAAGAGGCGGCGGCGTAGGCGTAATTTATAAAAAGGATATAAAAATTATTAATATTCCGACTCTTTCAATATCCGAATACAATTACGAACTCCTTACCCTTGATATATACTCAGAATTTAAAAGAATTAGATTCCATTTAATATATAGGCCGCCAAATACAAAATTAGTTGATGATAAAAAATTTTGGGAATTAATAAAGAAAAAATATAAAAATGATCTCTCAAATATTATATTAGGGGATTTAAACCTTCCCAAAATAAATTGGCAGGATTTTACACTTCAGAAAGATAATCAAAACTTATATTTCTACAATACCATGAACAAGCTAAATTTAAATCAGATAATAAAAGAGGCAACCATGTATAATACTTCCCATACACTAGACCTTATCTTACAAAATAAGCAATTAATAGATAAATACGAAATTATAGAAAATTTGGTTTTGAGTGACCACAAACCGATAGTATTTGAATTAATTTTTCCATTCGAAAAAATAACATCTAAAAAGAAAAGAAACGTATTTTTATTTAAGAAAGGGAAATATAAAATAATAAATTGGTACCTAGCTCAATATAACTGGAACAATATACTTAATAAAAAAAACCCCTCAGAAATGGCCGAAATACTGAATTCAATAATAACCCAAGTAATTCAAAAATTCATCCCTATTAAAAAATTTGGTGAGAAAACACCCATGAAATACCCTAAAGAGATTAGAGAAATAATCAAACAAAAAGCTGATGCATGGAAAAAGCTAAAATTAGGGGAAATTAGTAAAGAGAATTATAAAAGTCTTGAAATTAAATGTAAATTACAAATAGGAAAATATAAAAACAACTATCTATCGAAAAAAATAGGATCTGGACACATAGGGGAAATACATAAATTAATGAAAAGAAATCGATTTAACTTCTCTGGTATACCTATACTTAAGGAATCTGAGGAAGGCGACCCCATAATATCCGACACAGACAAAGCAAATAAATTTAGAAATATTTTTGAAGAAATAGTTAGTGGAGGTAAAAACAATATACAAGCAAGCCTCGTAGCTGAGGACGAATATCAGGAAGAAATCACTTTTGAACCATATATAATAGAAAAACTATTAAAAAAGCTCCCAAATAAATTATCCCATAGTCCTGAGAATATCAACCAATATTTTCTAAAAAAATGTGCTACCCCCTTAGCTCTCCCTCTCTCAATTTTATATAAAAATACATTTAAAACAGGAATAGTCCCTGAATTATGGAAAACAGCCCACATTCTACCGATATTTAAAAAGAAGGGTTCGGTAAACGACCCAAAAAATTACAGACCAATTGCTTTAACATCCCCGACTTGTAGAGTTTTTGAGCGTATTATAGCAAATAATATCTTAGAACACCTTAACAAACAAAAATTAATCGCAGAAGAGCAATTTGGATTTTTACCGAAAAGCTCTTGTACAATTCAAATCTTATCATCGATGCAAGACTGGTATAGTTCACTTGACAGGAAAATAGGTACAGATGTTATATATTTTGACTTTGAGAAAGCCTTTGATAAAGTAAACCACGAAATACTTATTAGAAAAATGCAAGAATTAAAAATAGATAGGTTAATAATTCAATGGGTTGCGAATTTTCTCTCAAATCGATCACATAGTGTAAAAATAGAAGAACATTTTTCCGAACCATTTATCCCAAAAACAGGAGTCCCACAAGGGACAGTCTTAGGTCCATTACTTTTCTTAATTTATATAAATGACCTTCCAAAATATATTCCACAAAATGTTAAAGTAAAACTTTATGCGGACGATTTTAAGATTTATTCAGAAATTAAGACGGAAAAGGACTGTATAGAGTTACAGGGGGCTATAGACAATGCGTGTAAATGGTCAGAAATGAATCAACTTAAATTCTCTATAGCAAAAGTAAAGGTTTTAAAAATATACAATAAAATTAGGTTTAATTATGAGATAAATGGTAAAAAAATCGAAGAGGTTAATAACATAAGAGATCTAGGTATATACATAGATAACAAGCTAAAGTTTGATCATCATATATCAAAAATTACCAAATCCTCATTTATAAGAATAAACAATATCCTAAGAATATTACCAAAAACATTACCAATAGAAACATATGTAAAAGCATTCAAAACATACGTAAGACCCATTATGGAGTATTCCACCGAAAATTTTAGCCCCAAATTAGAATATCTTAATAAACAATTAGAAAGACCACAAAAAAGCTTTACAAGGAGAATTTTAAGATATAAATACAAATACCAGAAAATAGAATATAACGAAAGACTAAAAAGATGCAAACTCCTTCCCTCCAATCTCCGTCGTATAAAAACTGATCTTATGACAACCTACAAAATAATCATGGGTTTCTATAAAATAAATCCAGAAAAAATATTTTCAAAACCTAATAGAATTAATCCGCGCTTACATAAATATCAGCTATTCAAAAAGCAAGCCAAAAATAATCATTTCTTTTCACATAGAGTCATAGATAGGTGGAATAAACTTCCAAAAAAAGAAATTGAAAAAATCAGTACTATACCGCAATTTAAAAAATTTTTAGACAAAATATTAACCACAGAAGATTATAATTTATGAGTATGAATTAATGGAGTGTATTAACATAAAATCCTAACCCAAATGTTCACTTTCTTACCTAAACAAATTTACTCAACATTTAAATAAAATTAGTTTTAATACAAATATTTTTTATATACCCAAATATACATACCTATATATTTTTTTATGGCATTTAATTTTATACATTTAATTTATTTTTTCTGTGGAGTCCATTATTTATTTTTTTTTACAACTTAACATTTTTTTTAAAACAGTCATATTTTATTTGTTTTTTTTTTATTGTACGTTACCTCTCCATAAGTGATCCCTGTGGATCCAGGAGTTTTATTTTATTGTTTCACACTTATTTATTTGTGTTCGATAAAGAAAAAAAAAATATTATTTACTTTTCTTTCTAACAAGTTTTTAATTTAATTCATATTTTAATATCTTATTCATACATTACATGTTTACTTTTCTTGATTATATAATAATTTTTTCCTTTCTCAACGAAATTTTGCACATTAATTTCGTTGGATACAAATTTTGAAGCCTAAGCTATGGTATTTTCTACATTTTTCATTTCGTTCAATCTCTTTCTACAAATTTTCCATTTTATTCAGAAATTATCAAAAATATTTATCTTCAATTTTACACCTTGCCGTTGTTTTAAATCTTCAAATACATAATATTCACTGAAAAAAAATTTCGAGATATTTAAATCTCAAGGAGTATCTGGCTTTTAAGCCTGCGGCGTATGCACCCAGCTTTACCCGCTTAATATCCTTCTCAAGGCACCTAGCCGACGGAGTGTGCACCTAGCTGCACCCGCCTTGATTTATTATTATTACTGTACAGATTTTCATTATTATAACAAGTACCTGGCACCTAGCCGACAGAGTGTGCACCTAGCTTCACCTGCCTTCAGTACTACAACTTTTATTCACATGTGCTAAGAGATAATCAAGAGGTAGCAAAGAGCATTTCTCAATACCGCGGCGCTACTTTGTTTCTCTGATTTTGATTTAAAAATAACGGTTAGCATACCTTTTCCACTTTTTAAAATTTAAACTTTAGAACACTTTTTAACCAAACAAAAATTTCATGACATTCTTCTAACTCAATATTTTAATTTTATTTTCTTCGACTTTTAACTTTCGATTCTAATTTGATAAGTTTACCTTTAATTTACAAAAATTTTTTCTTTTAATTTACAAAGTTTTAAGTACGTATATATTTTTTTAAAGCCTGCAGAATAGGCTCATGAATTATCTTACTCATTTCTAAATAATCTTCATTTAACCTCTTTTTGCAAAATTCTTATTTTAGATCATTCAAGGAGTTTAAGCTCGAGCTCTCAATTTTCTGAGGATTTGTTAATCACTTTATTCAACTTTCAGCACATTTAATTATTTAGTTTACGACTTTTCTGGAATTCCGTTTTTTTTTATGCTTTAATTTCATTCGCATTTCTCTCGACAAGGCTTGCCCGGGACAAGTGGCACCAAATGTTGGGATTGGGTTCCGAAGCCTTTCGAGGATTATACAAATTCTACTTTTTAAATAACTTTATTTACATCTAACTATTTACAAATTAAAATATATACATTAGGGAGGGAAAAGGGGACAATTACAAGAGTCTGGCCAGACCTGATAAAAACACTTCTAATTAGATATGAATGACCATTTTGGATGAGTATTTATAGGGGACATTAATAAGTCGAGATTGGCGTAAACAAGTGAATAACAAATATTAAGATAAGGGTCGGGAATTGTGATAGACTCTGATAACGGTCGGGATTCCTTTTAATATAGAAAGAGGTCAAAATATATGTGCCTGTGAATGCACGTGAATGCAACATTTATTTTTAGTTTGTTTATTTGATTAGGAGGAATACAGCAAATTCGTCCAGATATCTTTTAAAATTGCCTTATATTCCAAAAAATATCAAAGAAATGCTTCTCTGTCGTTACTGGCTAACAAAACTTTTATTAAATTGGCCTTTCCAAAGAGTTAATTTTGACAATATTATCTTCAATCCAATAATGCTTATGTTGCTATTCGAGAACAAAAATCCGCTAATTTTTAGTAGACTTCGAGTACGCTTTGAAGAAGATCTTTTTCGAGTTGTTCTTCAACAATATTCCATCTTTCTGAAAAAATCTAAAATGGAGGATGGTTGGCAAAAACATGTGGATTTATGGCCCTATGCTCGATTGGCTGATTGCATTAAGGTGTATAAGGAATCATTGCTAGATTATGGTAGTGGCTGGGTTGTAGGTCTTTCTGTATACCCAATTTCTTATATGAAAGTAATGGGCTTTTAATTGTTGTAAAAATATTTTTTGTTTGATAAAATTGTTTTTTAAATTATTTGCTTTTACATTTGTTGCAAATGCAACTTAATATTTATATTTTTTATTGCCACTATAAAATTGCCACTATAAATAGTTCGCGCCGTTTTAGCCATGCATCGTTTTGTCCTTGTGACGTTTCGATTTACGATGTTTCGGTCTGAGCCGTTTTGGCTGCGCCCAAATTTTTTATTTTTTGTCAAAAAGTCCTAATTTTCAAAAATTCTTAGTTTGTCTCGGATTTGAGATGTATTGATTTTGATTTTAGTTGTTGACTTTGACCCTCGTCTTTGAATCAAGAAAAATCGGTCATTTTCTTTATTTTCAGAATTTAAATAATGTCAGTTCCAATTATTCTTCTTCGTGAAGGCACACAAACAAAACAAGGACGTGGACAAATTCTAAGCAATATTAGTGCTTGTTGTGCTGTTGCTGACAGTGTTAGAACTACGCTTGGACCTAGAGGATTGGATAAATTGTTGGTAGACCGTAAAGGTTTGGATCGATTTTTTGAGTTGATTTTTTCGAGGAGAAGGGGGGGGGGGAGTTGCTTAAATCCGGAGGATTTTTTGTTGTTTTCCTATAAGCATGGGAGATCGGAGTTTGTTAACTTGGTCCAAATACCTATGAATTTGATTTTTGGGCTCCTTTGGAGTTTCCCTGGCCGAAGTTTTCAGTGACTTGTTTGGGCTGTGGATTCGAAACTTATTTTCGTAAAGCCAAACTTTAGTAATTCCTATTTTTGTGTAGGCAATGCGTTGTATGGAATATGGGGATCGAGCTTGGTAATAGCCAGAACACAGACCTTTTGACTTTTTATGATTTCCTGGACTTTAGGGTTTCCTAGGCTTTAGGCCCAAACTGTCTGGATGGAGTTTTGGTAAGACTGAGTTTTGCTTGGACTCAGTTTTTTCCTCATTCACCTCCAGACCTAGACTATAGTTCTTTATCGTCAACATTTCAGGCCAAACAACAATTTCAAATGACGGAGCAACAATACTTAAGCAACTCGATATTGTTTTCCCAGCGGCGATAGTTATGTCCGACATTGCAAAAAGTCAAGATGCTGAAGTTGGGGATGGAACTACGAGTGGTTTGTTTAAGTTTAGAAAATTAAAGAAAATTTATTTAAATTTTCAAGTTGTCATTTTGGCCGCAGAATTTTTGAAAGCTGCAAAGCCTTTTATTGAAGAAGGGGTTAGCCCTCAATTGATCATTAAAGCTTTTGAGGATGCTTCAAAAGAGGTTTTTTTATTTTGTAATTTGTGGGTTATCCTAACAAGGAAAGGTTGCGAGGTGTCCGATTAAAAAGGTCGAGACCGGGCTCATTCAATAGAGAATATGCCCTTTCTAGCAAGGATTTTGTCCTGCCCGTTTTTTGATCTGGCCAAGATATGGCCCTCCAAATTCCCAAAATTTGGCACTAAATAGTCAGATCGAAAAGACTCATAACGGTCAAGCCATACTTTCTCTCTATTAAATTTGAGGGAGTGATATCTAACCATCATGAGTCTTTTTTATATCTGACCATTATGAGTCCATTAACCCACAAATATCTTTAAAAATTCTTTAATTTTTCCGTTAAATTTTAAAGGCCATCAAAAAACTTCGTGAACTCGCTGTCAAAATTGTCGGGACTACTGAATCTATTGAAATGCTTGTTCGCTGTGCAGCGACAACTTTGAGTAGCAAATTGGTTTACTTTTGAATTTTTTAAAAATTCAGAAAAAAATTTTCTTCAGTTAAAACAAGAACGTCACCATTTTTCTACAATGGTAGTTGATGCTGTTAGCTATTTGGATATTGATTTGCCTTTGAATATGATTGGGATTAAGAAAGTTAGCGGTGGCTCTATTCGGGTATTTCTTCTATTAAATGCCTAATTTTGGATTATGACTCTCCTTTTCTTTTACTTCGATTTATCTTCCCTTTAATAATGCCAGCGACACGCCGAAATACCAAACCCACACAGCTGCTACAATACCAAACAGGAAATGGCAAACATTAACTTTGTTCTGCTGTTCGCCGAATTTTCGCCTTTTTTGGTGTGTCGCTTTTCGTCTTTCGATTGTTAAACTTTATTTAGCACACCCCTGTGATATAAGTATTTCCTAATCACATGGAAAGTTGTTTCAGCAAAAGGAGGGGTTCGGGATCCTCTATCAATGTCAAATGTTGATTTTTGGGGGATTGAGTTTTGGCATCTGGTTAAGGCATCATACTTATAGAGGGAGTAGGAAGAAGAGGAGAGTCAAAGTCTTCTAAAATTTTAATTTAAAAAATTTAAAGGATTCTCGTCTTGTAAAAGGTGTGGCCTTTAAAAAAGCCTTTAGCTATGCAGGATTTGAAATGCAGCCCAAACACTATAAAAAGCCTTTAATTGCCGTGTTAAATATTGAATTGGAATTGAAAGCAGAAAAAGATAATGCTGAATTACGCATTGGAAATGTTGCTGATTATCAAGAGGTTTTTTTTGAAAAAAATTTTTGAGAGGGGTGGAATTTTGGAAAAAAATTTTTTTTGAGGGGTGGAAATTTTGAAAAAAAAATTTTTGAGGTGTGGGAATTTTTGTAAATTTTTGAAATTTTTTTTCGAAATTTCCACCCTCAAAAATTTTTTTAATTTCAGGAAAAAATTTCAGAAATTTCTAAAAATTTTAAAAATTTCAAAAAATTTTAAAAATTTCAAAAAAAAATTTTTCAGAAATTTCAAAAAATTTTTTTTATTTTTCAGGTGGTCAATGCAGAATGGACTATTCTTTATAATAAATTGGAAAAAATCCATGAAAGTGGCGCAAAAATTGTTTTATCAAAATTACCAATTGGTGACGTTGCTACTCAATGGTTTGCTGACAGGTTTGCTTCTTTTCTAGAAATAAAAAAATTTTTATATTTTAAAGAGACATGTTTTGTGCTGGTAGAGTTCAAGATGAAGATATTGAACGCGTTTTAGCTTCTTGTGGGGGATCATTGTTAACAACAGTTTCTCAAGTGGATGCTTCTGTTCTTGGATGTTGTGGTGAATTTTATGAACAACAAGTTGGAAGTGAACGGTTTATTTTTTTGATTAATTTTTTCTGTGTAAGGGCAATATTCGATCCAGACAAGTCTCCGACGAGCAAAACTCCGTCCTTTCAATTCACATTTCCTTTGTCTGCAGATTTGTTACGACAAGTCTCGTTAACATGCGGACATATCGGTCACACATATCGGGACATTTCAATGTGCTAGCAGTTCTACTGATTTCGTGACCTACGGCCACTGGGTCCTACGTTTATTTTGTTAAGACAGAAGTTTGGAAGACCGGAATTTTGCCGTGTTGAAGTTTTGTCTGGTCGGAGTTTTGTCCCTCCCCTTTTTTTCTTCTTATTCTTTAAAAATTTTTTTTCAAGTTACAATTTCTTCACTGGCGGTTCCAAAGCAAAATCTTGTACTTTAGTACTTCGTGGAGGTTCAGAACAATTTATTGCAGAAACTGAACGTTCTCTTCACGATGCAATTATGATTGTACGTCGAGCAATGCGTAATGATTCAATTGTTGCTGGTGGTGGAGCGATTGAAATAGAACTTTCACGTCACATTCTTGAATTGGGAAATAAGCGTGAAATGAAGGACCAATTCTTTTGGAAAGGTTATGCAAAGGCTTTTGAGGTTTTTTTAATTATAAAATTAAAGTTGGGGCTCTAAACTACTTCCTTGAATGTGGAAAATCGTATTCTGTAATGAGTCTATTTAAATAAAGGAGGGGGTGGGATGTTGAAATGGCAAAAATGGAGTACCAAACTCCAAAAGCCATTGAAGTACCAAACTGTAAATGACCTTGATATACCAAATAAATACTATTGTTTGGCATTTCAATGACTTTTAAGAGTTTGACTTTTCATGCATGTTGTTTCGGTGGTTTGGCATTATAAGATTACACCTAACTAGGGGGTTTAATGTTAAATCGATTCCCATACCCATATAATGGTTAATCGAATTTAACATAAAAGCTAAAATTTATGTGTGTTTTGAGTTATCTATAAGTGCGGTCCAGTATTCAGATTGCCTATCTAAAAAATCTTTTTTATTTAAGGCAATCCCTCAACAACTTTGTCAAAATGCTGGTTTGGATGCAATTACAATGCTTGGAGAATTACGTGCTGCTCATGCAAAAGGGCAAAAATGGTGTGGAATTGATATACAAGCTGAGCGTGTTGCGGATAATATGGAGGGTTGTATTTGGGAACCTGCTCTTGTTAAAGAGGTTTTTTTTTATTATTTTTTAATTTGAATTTTTGGAAAACTAATAAGGTCAAATTTCGGATAAAGGAAAGGCCCAAGCCTCGGCTTTAACCCAGCTCTATAAGAAAAAGTGATTTTATTGAAATTATTTTTTTCTTGTGTCACTGGGGCAGTGTAGTTTGAGTGGTTGACCCGAGAGGGTTATGGGTAGGTTTCAAATCGGGGTTCGGGCAGGAAAAATTTTTTTACCAGTTTGGGCAACCCTTTCCATTCATGATCTTAAAAAAATATTTAATTTTTTAGAATGCTATAATCTCAGCTACAGAAGCAGCTTGTCTCATTTTAAGTATTGACCAAACAATAAAAAATGTAAAATCTGCAAATGAAATGCCTGGATTGCCTGGACAGCATTGAGAGAGGTTTAAAAAAATTAAATTGTTATCTAGTAAATTAAAAGAAGTTTTTTTTGTTAAGAAAAAGGGAGAAAACAACTCGTTCAATTTTTGAAAATTTTTTTGTGTCATTTTGTTAACTGACTGGCGCTAGTCTAGTTTAAGAGTCCAATGAGCTTTTATGCGTCCAAACAAAAGAAAATCGGATTTTTCTTGGTCCAAGCAAAGCAGGGGTATGGTTCCAAAACATTTCTTCAAGTTCGGGACCTACGCCCAATGGGTCTGGAACCGTTCCTTACCCTTTCCCTCGAAAATTGGAAAGTTATAACCGTTTTTCTGAAATTTTTAGAAATTGGCTATAACTTTCCTAAAAGTTATTTCAAAATAACCAAAGAAATCCAACAATTTAATACAAATTATCACAACAGAACTAAATTAGAATTCATTGTGGAGAAACCCTCCATGAATAACAACATGACCATACATGAAAACGAATACTTTTGGAATACAAATTCCATCGTTAGAAAAATGGAAATTGTGTATATTGAAAATCTTATGAGCAGCAAAAAATAATTCAATAATTTGTGGATTAAAAACAGCATGTTTGACCTTAAAGTTTTGAATTAAGTAACTTGACAGTTTTGTAAGCCAATAGTGAAAAACATGCCTTTCTTTGGGTACCGAAATTTTCGTCGCTGAAACTTTCGTCTCCAAGATTTTTTGAATTTTCGTCTCCGGAATTTTTAGGCGCAGGGAGGAGTAAATTTTTTGATTCATTCGAAAATAACACAAAATCAATTTGCACAAACGCCTCTCCGAGCCCATAGGTTTATGTAGTTTTTTTGAATGAATCAAAAAATTTACTCCTCCCTGCGCCTAAAAACTCCGGAGACGAAAATTCAAAAAATCTTGGAGACGAAAGTTTCAGCGACGAAAATTTCGGTACCCAAAGAAAGGCATGTTTTTCACTATTGGCTTACAAAACTGTCAAGTTACTTAATTCAAAACTTTAAGGTCAAACATGCTGTTTTTAATCCACAAATTATTGAATTATTTTTTGCTGCTCATAAGATTTTCAATATACACAATTTCCATTTTTCTAACGATGGAATTTGTATTCCAAAAGTATTCGTTTTCATGTATGGTCATGTTGTTATTCATGGAGGGTTTCTCCACAATGAATTTTAATTTAGTTCTGTTGTGATAATTTGTATTAAATTGTTGGATTTCTTTGGTTATTTTGAAATAACTTTTAGGAAAGTTATAGCCAATTTCTAAAAATTTCAGAAAAACGGTTATAACTTTCCAATTTTCGAGGGAAAGGGTAAGGAACGGTTCCAGACCCATTGGGCGTAGGTCCCGAACTTGAAGAAATGTTTTGGAACCATACCCCTGCTTTGCTTGGACCAAGAAAAATAAAATTTTTTAAATTTGACTCAAAAGTTCATTGGACTCATAAACTAGACTAGCGCCAAAAATTTTTCTCTGCTTCTCTCATTAAAAAAATTTTTTTGCATAAAATTGAAAAATTTAATAGTTAAGATGCTACGTTATATTGTTATTTTATGCTTTTTTTTATTTATTTTTGTTAATTTTTATGCAATTTTTTCTTTTCTATCTTAAAATTTTTTTTACTTTTTTAGCTATTTTTAAGAAAAAAAAGTTTTAGTAAAAAAGTTTTTTCAATGTTTCCTGCAAGGACTTGTTTCTTTCTTGCTTCAAGTTTGTTTTTGTTTAAAAATTAATTACTTTTTTTTAATCTAGAGCGCTTCTATGTGACAAAGCCTCTTCTTAATTTTGGGGCAGTTGGAAGTGTTGAATATGGCAAGGCTACTTTTGCGTCTGCTGTTGCTAAAGGTTCGGACTTGAAATATCTTTTTTTGTGTTAGGTGGATCTGTTAAAGGGTCTTTTACTTGTAAAGTCGAAGTTTAAAACTCGTCTTGTTTCTTTTCTTATCCTCTGCTCTGATTCCCTCATAATTCGGGTTTTCCTTCCGAATTTCCACAAAATTGTTTAAACTACCAAAGTTTGAAACTTGGACTGATTTTTTGATTTTTTCCAACTCATTTAGTTGTTTAGATTCACCTTTTTGTGCTATTAACAAGTAAAATCGAATACTTTGTTGCCTTAACAGACCCCTGTTTTGTCATGTTGTCTGTGTGTAAATTTGGGTCCGATTTCCACATCCTCTTTCCACGAGCCTGGCTTGTGTAGTTCAAATTTAGGCACCATTTCTTCGTTGTAATTTCCAGAAATTTTTGACCATATAAAAATTGACTTAATTTTTATGGAATTCTTTATTCAGGCGATGGACATCATGACGCTGAAGAACATCACGAATACTTCCATGGTGTTCCGATAGAACCAAATCCTGGACCTCCAATTACTTTTGACTATTTTCCTGTTCCGTGCAAGCCGTATAAGGTTTATAAAATAATTTTTATTTTTTTCAAAAAAAATTTTTTTGTCACTCGAAACGAGAACCCTTTTTTAATTGTTAAATAAATTTTTCAAAAATGTTTGGATATTCTAAAACATGCGTCCCGTGGAAGCGTATGTGTCTCATAAATGTGGTTGATTCCTCGGATTTTTCCAAAGGCTACCAAAGGCTTGAACACTCCGGGGCAATCGAAAAATATCAAACGTTGTCCCAACATTGAACTGATTTGCCAACAAACAGGGAAACAGTTTTTCAACGAAAAATCGATTGGAATTTAAGCCCTTAACCAGAGGATGGTATTATAATATTATTTCTACATTTTGGTATTTCGAGGTCTTTGAGAGGATTTGGTAATGTACTGATGATATTTACACGGGTTGGTATTTCGAGATTTTTTCCAAGTTGCTTTGAGATCCTTAACATTTTTTGGGCGTTTTTAGGCTATCACCTTTATAAGTCGCATACATTCCCATGGGACTCATGCTCTAAACTAGAGCCGAAAAATTTATTTTTTCTTCTTTAAATAGCCTGTCTATGACGAACTTCAACGCAAATTCAATTTGTGGTTGTTAGGAGGATTTTCTGTTTTTCTCTTCTCGTTGTACATGATTTATGCTACGGATGCTACAGAATATGAGGCTTGGGCTAGGGTAAAAAGTTGGCGTGATCGAAAGAGAATTAATGCTGAATTGCGTGCTAAGGAAGCTGCTGGAGAGAAGGAAGAATAAATTGAAGAAGAGGAGGAAAAATATTTGGAAGAGAAGAGATAATTTTTAATAGGTTTATTTTTTTGGTTTATTTTGGCTATAGTGAAGAGGGGTGGAGGTGAATAATAGGAGAGAGGACGAGGGAAATTTTTATTGAAAAAATTTTTTGGGTTTTCAAAAATTTTTTTTGAAAAAATTTTTCAAATAATTTTCTTATTCCTTCAAATTTGAGAATAAAATTTTTTTATGAATTTTCAATAATAAATTTTTTGAAAATTTCATAATAAATTTTGAAATATTCTTAAAAAATTTTTTTACAAATTTTTTTATTTCTCCAAGTCTATTAGAAAATTTTTTTTGAATAAATTTGGGTCTCACTTCATTAATAAAATTAATATGAAATTTCCTCGTTTCCCTCCTCCTCATTTTTCACCTCCCACCTTTATTATGTTAAAGACATTAATTTTGTTTACCTGTCAAAACTATATTTTAGTTCAATATATTTTTTGTGTAATTAAAAAATGAAAAAATGTTTAAAAAATTTTTTTATTAATTATTTGAGCCATTAAAATATGGTTTCATATTTTTATTATTTTTTTCTAGGGTTGGGGGTTTTCGAGTCGGGCCAACGTTCGAGTCATTTTTTTGCTTTATTTTGGTTATAGTGAAGATGGGTGGAGGTGAATAATAGGAGAAAGGGCGAGGGAATTTTTTCGAATTTTTCGGGCTTCATTTTAGTGGACCGGCCCGACCGAGTCTTTTTCGGGCCAAAATTCAATGACCGAGACTTGATCTTTCGGACCGGGCCCCCAACCCTAATTTTCTCGATTTTAAGAAAAAATTTTCTTTTTTAGATTTAATTTTTCAAGAAAAAATGATACTTTTCAAGTCTTCAAATTTATTAAAAAACAATTTTTTAAAATCTGTTTTGGTTTCAAATGCTTCAATAACAACACAACAACAGCCACAAACACGCCCAAATGTTGTTTTAATTGATGCTGTTCGAACACCTTTTGTTGTATCCAATACAGTTTTTAGAGAACTTTTGGCAGTGGATTTGCAACGACATGCTTTGAGAGGTTTTTTTTGAATAAATAGTTTTTGAGGTTTTTTCTGGTGTTTTTATATAGGCTTGATTGTGCGAGCAGGCCAATGTACCGCGAGTCGCCAGGCTATAGCTTCGTTCAAACTAGTCGAATCCGTTGCGCCCTGGTATGGTTCGATGCGTCTCGACCAGTTGAATCGGACTATACCAGGACACCACGGATTCGACAATTTTGAACAAAGTTATAGCTCGGTTATAGCATTTGATTAAAGTTATAGCATTTGATTAAAAATAGTCAAATGATAATAAAAATAATCAAACGGTACATCGAGGTGTACCTGTATTTTTTTACCCTGGCGAGAATTTTTGAAATTTTTTCTGCCCTCCCAAAAATTTTTCCCTAATTTGGGGGTAGAAGCATGAAGGCGACCTTGCCGTTTATTTTTAATGGATGAACGTTTTATAATATTCCCAATTTTTCAGCTTTGGTTGACCGAACAAATGTACCTTTTGAAGATATTGGACATATAATTTGTGGGCAAGTTGTACAAGAATGTAGAACTAGCAATATAGCACGGGAAGCAGCAATTACTGCTGGGTTTCCTGATTCTGTTGGTTTTTTTATATTTTTTAATAATTTTTTTTTGAGTCAAAAAAGTCAGTGTCTCAGATATTTAAATTGGTCGAAATTTAGTGAAACAAAACGAAGCCGAAAAAAAAAATCGAGGGGAAAGACGAATCGTTTTGTGTATGTCTCTAGCAAGGATGTCATGCAAGGGCGTAGCCAGTGGGTCGACTTCAGGAGGGGAGGGTTAAAATGGGGTGTGCGTCTTTTTTGGAAGGCGTTTTTTGAAAATTTTCTGGAACCTGGACAATTTTCGACTTGAACCTTGATCTGTAGAAATTTTTGAAAACCTGATGGTTCGACTTTTTCCTCAATTCGTGACATTCCTGATATATAGCCATGATAGCCCTGATACCAGTTAAAGTAAACATCTCTTTTTAGATTCCTTGCAACACAGTTACTCTAGCCTGTATTTCCTCTGCTATTTCAACTCAAAATATTGCCTCAATGATTACTAATGGATATTTAAAGGCAGGGATTGCTGGAGGAGTTGAGTTACTTTCTGACTTTCCTGTTAGATATAATCGAAAGGTTTGTGGATTTTCTTAAAAAGATTTTCAAAAAAAATTCTTGAAATTTTATAAAAAAATTTTTCGAAAAATTTTAAAATTTTTTTGAAATTTTCCAAAATTTCTGAGAAATTTTTAAAATTTTTGAACGAATTTTTTTTTTGAAAAATTTTTCGAAAAAAACCTTCAAAAAAATCTTTCTGAAATTTTCCAACAAATTTTTGGAAATTTTCAAAAAAAATTCTGCGAAAATTTTTTAAAAATTTTATAAAAATTTTTGAAAAAATTTTTTTGAAATTTTTAGAAAATTTTCGAAAAATTTCCAAAAATTTTTTAAAGGCTCGCCTTTCAATGATTGATTTTCAAAAAGCAAAGAAACTCGATGCAAAACTTAAATATGGATTTAAAATGCTGGCTAATTGGTTTACCCCAGAATTACCCGCAGTTTCCGAATTTACAACAGGCGAAGTTATGGGCAATTCTGGTGATCGTTTGGCGGCTGCTTTTTGTGTTTCGCGAAAGTATTTTTAAGGGGTTTTAAAATAAATTTGTAGGAGTCTATATCTCAAGGGAAATCCCAGGGAATTTTTGTCCGTAAAATTTTTATCCGCAAGATTTTTTCCGCAAATTTTTCTCCGCATCTTTTTATCCGCAAATTTTGTCCGCAAAATTATTTTTATCCGCAAAATTTTTATCCGAAAGTTTTTATCTGCAACTTTTTTTCAACTTTTTGTCTGCAATATTTTTGTCCGCAAATTTTGTCTGCAAATGTTTTTATCCGTAATTTTTTCGTCCGCAAATTTTTTATCCGCATCTTTTTGTCCGCAAAATTTTTATCCGCAATTCAATTTTAAATTTCTTAATTTTTAAGAGAGCAAGACGATTTTGCCATTCGTAGCCATACTTTTGCCGAAAAAGCAACAAAAGAAAATAAATTAACAGATGTAGTGCCAATGTTTGTACCTTATGGACCTAAAAAGGGTCAAACAGTTTTGGCTGATAATGGAATTAGAGTTTCTACAAAAGAACAAATGGCTAAACTTAAAGCTGCTTTTATTAAACCTCATGGAACTGTAAGAAATTTTTTTGAAGAATTTTTTGAAAAATTTTTTTTTTGAAAAAAATTTTTGATTTTTAAAGGTGACTGCTGGAAATTCTTCTTATTTAACTGATGGGGTTGGTAATTTTTTTTTATTATAAAAGGGAGAAGGGCATTCCGTTGTAAGGTTTAACAACTTACACTAGTCTGAGATTTTCAAATGTCAATGTTAATTTTTAAATTATGAAAAAAAAATTTAAAAAATTCAAAAAAAATTTTTTGCGGACAAAATTTGCGGACAACTCCACAATTTGCACAAATGTATTTAAATATCGACACCTTCTTCCCCCAAATATGCTAAAATATGGTTCGATTCAGTTCGTATTCATTTTTGTAAATTTATCTTGAATAAATTTTTTACTGAAAATTTTTTGTTTCTTACATCATGACGAGTTTAAAAGAGTCGTATATTGTGCCGTCCATGATTTAAAATTTTTTTTTGACTTTTTTGACATTACGGCGTTTTTTTTTGGCATTTTTGATCTTACAACGTAATTTGGGAGGAGGTATCGATATTTAAATACATCTTTGCATATTTGTAGAGTTGTCCGCAAATTTTGTCCGCAAAAATTTTTTTTGAATTTTTAAATTTTTTTCAAATAAAAAAATATTTTTTTGTTAAGGCATCGGCAGCTCTAATAAGTTCAGAATCTTATGCACTTCAAAAAGGTTATAAACCCAAAGCTTTTATTCGTGAAACAATGTTTGTGGCTCAAGACCCAAAAGATCAGCTTTTGCTTAGTCCGGCTTATGTTATTCCAAAATTATTGGATAAGGTTTTTTTTTAATTTTTTGAAGAATTTTTAAATTAAATAAGGCTGGTCTTAAATTACAAGATGTTGATGTTTTTGAAATTCATGAAGCATTTGCTGGTCAATTGTTGGCAAATTTGAAAGCTTTGGATTCTGATTGGTTTTGTCAGGTTTTTTAACTTTTGGAAGAATTTTTTGAATTTAATTATGATCCTCACTAGGGACACGCCCGAAATGTCGCGCGGCCATAATGTCGCCGAGCCATAACTTGCTTTAAGATTTCCGAATCTTTCCAAATTTAGTATTAACGATTCCTCTCATCGAGCTAAAGAGATTGGTACCAAAATTGATAAGGGCCAGAAATATTTTAGCAAGTTATGGCTTGGCGACATTATGGCCGCGCGACATTTCGGGCTGTACCCCCTCACTATAAGTTAATCAGATAGTTAAACCCAAATTTAAGCAATACCCTTTATTTAACATACACCTCATTATAAGAGACAATAAAATTTCTTTATAAGATACCCCCAATATTAGGTACATTTTTATTTAAGAGACTTTTTTGTTCATTAGTTTGGGGAGTTGCTTAAACGACACTTCTCTATTTAACATACACCTTATTATAAGGGACAAAAATTTTTTTTGGATTTTTCAAAGGGAAGCCTATAGGTTTGACCTTATTTTAAGCTTCTAATATTCTTAAAAATTAATTTTTTTTTCAGAATTACATGAAAAGAAATGCAAAATTTGGAACTCTCCCAATGGAAAAGCTCAATTTGTGGGGTGGTTCGCTTTCACTGGGACACCCATTTGGCGCTACTGGTGTCAGACTTTTGGCGCATGCTGCTAATCGTTTAAAGGATGAAGGTAAAGAGGAGGGGGTTTATTAAAGAAAAATTTAAAAAAATTCTTAAAAAAAAGGTGGTCGTTATGCAGTAATTGCTGCATGTGCAGCTGGTGGTCATGGTGTTGGAATGCTTGTTGAGGCATATAAATAAATTTAAAAAAATTTTTTAAAAAGAAAAATTTATTTTTGGACACAGCGAAAATTTTTTCAGACTATATTTTAGCATATTTTTTAAAATTTAAAAAATATAGAGGGTGGCCTATTAAAAAGTTAAGATACGTATTGTCTCTAATAGAAGCCCGTCTGCAATAGAAACCCATGTCATATTAAAAGCCCATTCAATGAGGGGTATTGAAAAATAGACGCCCAGGGCTTGTATTAGAGACAATACGGTATATTAAATAATAATGATTATGTGTATTTTTAATCTTGGATATTCTATAAAAATTTGGATGTATTTTTTTAACGGAATAAAAATAATTATGCTGTAATTGCTGTATGTGCAGCTGGAGGTCATACACCTCATTATGAGGGAACATACACCCTCTTTATTTTCTTCTTTATTCTCCTAAAAATTAAATTAAAATCACTGACTATAAAACTTTAAGACTCCTTTCTTAAAAAAACTTTTTTTATTTTTATATTCTATTTTTAAAAAAGAAAATTGAGAAGTTATTTAAGTACATTTTCTTGACTTATGATCGTCTCATAGATAACGTCATCAAGCTTTTATTTTTTCTTATTTTTCTAATTTTAATTTTTTTGATTAGAAAAGGATATTGGGGGATTTAAAATATAAATATTTTATAAGAGAAAAATAGATGAAAAAAATAAAAACAAATGTTCCCATAAAATTTATAAAACTTTATTCAAAAAAAGACGAGGGAGGGTCTTTAAGCCTTGAAAAATTTTTTTTTAACAACGGAAAAGTAAAGGAAGAACACTTGTCACGTAAATAAAAATAAAGGTAAAAATCCTTATTTAATCCTCCCTTGCCAAAAGACATTTGGCACTTAAAAAATTTTTTTTATTCTTGACTTTTCTCCTTTAAATTGATTTTTAAAAATATAAATTCGATTTTTAGTTGTTAAATGTTTCAAGTTTTAAAATATTTAAGTTGATAATTCTGATTTGATGTAAATAAATAAATAAAATGTATTTTAGTGAAAATACAAGAATATTCTGATTTTAAAAATAGAATAGTCTTGTATTTTAAAAATCAGAATTCTGATTTTAAATAGGGATTCTGATTTTTAAAAATATCAGAATATTTAAGAAAGTCAGTTTAAAAATCAGAATTTAAAAAATCAGAATTCTGACTAGAAATTGGAATACTAAATTTTCAGAATTCTGATAAAAATATAAAAATTCTGATTTTAGATGGGGATTCTGATTTTTCGGAATTCTGATAAAAATCAGAATTCTGATTTTAAATTAGAATTCTGATTTTTTATCAGAATTCTGCAAATTCTGATTTTTTTATCAGAATTCTGAATTTTCTCTGCCTTTTGCTTTTCAGAATTCTGATTAAAAAAATCAGAATTCAGCATTTTTCCTAAAATATTCTGTTTGTATTTAGATTCTGATTTTGTATTTCTGATAGCAATCAACTACATTTTTCTTGTTGAGAATTCAGAATTTTTCTTAAACAAAAAATGCGTTGTTCCCTTCACTCTACTTTTATTATCCTTCCCCTTATAATCTTTCTCTTCACAATTTTCTCTACTTTTTGTTCTGCCGACCTTCAAAATATAACAGTTCGAGGTCAGGCAATTTGTCGACGTCGAAGTGTTAAAGGATTACATATTGAATTACGCGAACACGATACTTTTGATCCAGACGATTCTTTATCTGCTACAACAACTGGGCCAGATGGCACTTTTGAAGTTAGGGGTTCGGAGAATGAGGTGGGATATGATTTTTATGTGTTCTGGGGCACTAAGCTAAGATACAGTACCTCATGATAACTGGGAAAGGGAATGTTGGGCAGCAGCAAGGCTAGGAAACTTGAAGCCACTCAATTTTTAGGGATCGGGGCATTACTGCTAAAAGCAGGATGGGAGTTGTTCATCTATCAAATCTCTCCTTTTTAAGGTTGGCTCAATCCGTCCATACCTGCGCATAACACACAAATGTGACGTCTCAGATGATATGGTAATTAAATTGATGTTAAAACCTTATTGATCCCGTTTATAGTGACCCCTCTCAACTATAAGATTCCTTATTGACCAATAAGGATAGGGTCTTCGGGCTCCCTCAAAAAACAAAGCCGATATTTGTGAATAGTATCTTAAAACAGTGCTCATTTTCGAGACACTTTACAAAAAGGAAACCCCGTTCAGTGTCTCTTAGATATAAGACATTTGCTCGATCGGAGCTGATCTTTAAAAATGACCTAGGAAAGGGGAGGGAACTGAGTTGGAGTTTACAGTATTAAAAGCAAAGCTGACCCTTCTTGATAAATAACTTGTTCCCCTATTGGCAGGTCCGGATTTGATTCACCAAAAATTTCTGTGGGAAGAGAAAGGGGGAGACAAGTCAAGAAAAGGGGAGACAAGTCAGAACCAATTGTATTGAATAAAAAACAAAAATTTTTTCTATTTTTTAAAGAAATGTCGACGAATAACAGAAATTGATATACCAAAAGAAAAGGTTAATGGAATATATGAAATGGTAAAAAATAAAAATTTCTTTTGAAAAAATTTTTTTCAATTAAGAATTTTGTCAATTTAAATTTGCCTGGACATAGAGACAAGGAAACGTGTGACGATTAAACTTATTTTAGAAAGATTTATGGACTTCTCATATAATTTTGTGCGTTTATTCTGCCTTATTTGCCATAATAAAATTAACTATACAGTCGGACCTTGTTTGTAAATACACCCAGAATGAGGTGTCTCTTGACTTAAGATACGTTTTCCAAAAATATGACCGGTATATTAGGGCTGTGCGCCAAAAATTTTTCGCATGGCGTGCCAAACGTCGAACGTCATTTTTTCAAATTCTAAAAACACGCCAAACGTCAGAACGCCAATATGGGCCAAAATGACGCCAAAACGAAAATTCATGGCGCACAGCCCAGCTATCCTTTGGGTGGTAATTCGAATGACCCTATAGTAGTTATCCCACCCTCACCGTCGCGGCTGTCACAAAAAGGACATTTGGTCTACAACTGTTTTGGGGTATCTTATTGCCAGCTGGACAACGGAAACCTACTAAACGATTTGTAACATTATATCTTTTGTAATTAATCCCTTTGATGATGCCGACAAGTACATAATTACAAAAATTTTTTCGCGCAAAATTTTTAAATGCCGTTGGAAACCTAGGGAAAGTTAATTAATTTCAAGATACTAATTATTATTTCTTCTTGATAAAGCCGACAAATTTTAATTACTTAATTAAAAATTGTTTTTTCTCGCGACGGTGATTCTCGCGCAAAGCCGCGACGGTAATCTTCGCGAACTCCTTGTAAATACAAATTGTTTTCCCACTACGGTGATTTTCGCGCAAAAAAGCCATGAAACTTTCTGAACTTTTTTTTAGCTTGCAGACATTGTTTACCCATTGGTAATTGACATCTTTTTATCTCTTTAATGTACCGATATTTTAAAGTACAAATTGGTTTTCGCGCAAAATTTTTTAATTTTTAAAATTAACTTTTCATATAAACTCAATAAACTTTTTAAATTTTTCATTTACCAACAAAAATTTTAATGTAATTCCAAAATGTAATTTAAAATTAAAATAATTAATTTAAACTAATTCCAAATCTAGTCAATTTGTGCAATTACTAAATTATTTTACCGCAAAATACCTATATTAAAACAGATTTTAGTTATTTGACGTATCAAAATTTAAAATTAAAAAAATTATAAAGACATAATTTTACATTTTAATTTAATTTTAAAATTAAAAAATTTTTAATTTTAATTTAAAATTATTTTAAAGTCTAAAATTTTATAAAAATTAAAAATAAATTTTAAAAAGGAAAAATAAGAAATAAAATAACATATAAAAACGGTTGCGCAATCAACAGCAGATGCCAATATGAAAAAATGAGATAAATATGGTATGTATAAGGAAAATAAATAAAAAATTTTGAAATAATGAGAGCAATAGAAAAACAAACAAAAAAGGAAAGATCTTGCTCAAGAGAGGAAAAATTTTTTAATAGGAGGAGAAAATTAAGAATAATTATTTAAAGTAGCAGGTGTTCATAACATGAAATGTCATTCCAATTTTTTTCAATCTTCCAAAATATATTTTTTATTTTATTTTTTCAATTCCTTTAATTTTTGGAAATATTATGCCTTAATTATTTTTATATATAATTTTAAATTATTTAATTTTTTAAATTTAATTTTTAATTTAATTATAGTTTTACTTTTATTTAACTTATACATATATTTTTACCTTTTCTTAATTAAAATTTTCTTCTCTTGTCTTATACAGTAGTGGGTCAAGAGATAGGGAATTCTTTATCATTTAAAATATATTTATGAAAATTTTTTGTTTGGTTAAATACTCTTTTAATTCTTTATTATATAAGCGTAAGATTTGCTAGGTTAATATTTTTTAATATCCAATCCAAAACCAAAATAAAAAATTTGTCCAAATTTTCGTGCAAAAATGATAGATATGTACAGGATTTATAACTAAGTATTCACCCAAACAAAAAATCTACAAAAATTTGAGCAAACTTATTTATTGATATTAAGAGGAAATAAAAACTAGCTCCATATCTCATTTCATTTTTGAAATCTCAATACCACTAAAATCAGCATAAAATATCTTTTAACCCTTAAAATTTATTTAAAGCTATTCGAAAGCCCTTGAAATTTGCTATAAATGGGGTAAATTTTAAGAAGAATATCTGGCTTAGTTGTAGAGGCGTCCTAAATTCTATTACTTTGTCCCTATATTTTTGTCAACTATGTAAATTAATAAAAAAAATATTAGGTAGTTAACTTGTATTCCATTAAATTCTTTAAATTTATTTCTTTTATTTAATTCATATATTTTGATTAATTTTTTAATTTTAAATATTTTTTTGTTCATTTACTTAAATACTGTATCTATTTTAATTAAATACCCTCTCTATTCGAATGGCCTATCCAATTGAATGAAACTGTTTACCTACAAATACAAACTATCTACATTACATTTCTTTATTTCCTTTATTACTGAGTTTAATATTCCCTTTTAGTTGGATAATTCTATTATTTTTATGGAAGTTTTGAGTCAATGAATGGTGTAGAGAATTTAAGTGATTTGGGAGGATTAAGAAAGATATTGAAGATTAAAAGATTTGGGGTTATATTATTGGATATTTTTCGAATTCGAAAATCATGATATTTTAGGAAAAAATCAATGCTCCAAATTCCCTGATTTACCTCAAAATACCATGATATCCTTTACTTCAAAAGTCATCAATATAATTCCAGATCCCTCTGAATTCTTCCAAATTCTTCGATGCAGGATTTATCTGTCCTAAAATTAGATTGTTGCCATCGAAATGAATCAAACTTACTAATTTAGCTCCGTAGGCAAAAAAAAACTTGTTAAATACAATTTCTGGGGGTAATAAAGTTTGAATGGGTCCATTCAGTTAGAATAAATACATTATTTTATTTCCTATTAAAAATTTAGATTTTATTTAAAATTTTTTTTAAAAATATTACATTATTTTACATTAATTTTAAAGTTAAAAGGCTTATATTTAATTTAAAATTATTATTTTCTATTATCATCAACTCTAAAAATTGAGTTTATTTCCCGAAACATAAATACAAAACTTTAATTTTTAAATTAAGTATCTCCTTAAAATTTTAGAGAGAAGTTCTAGGACTACAGGGGTTTCTGGGACTACATTTCCTTGGGCTAAATTTATGTAACTGTTTTTGTTCCTTACCCTTTCCTTTACAGCCTTTAACTTATAAAGTTGGTGAACCGGCCTCTAGGTGAGGCGATCCAACTTTTGTTGGTGAACCGACCTTTAGGTGTGGCGACCTGACTTTATAGGTGCTTTAGGGGTCCTTTGTGGGGAAAATACCTTCCTTAACTTATAAAGTTGGTGAACCGGCCTCTAGGTGAGGCGATCCAACTTTTGTTGGTGAACCGACCTTTAGGTGTGGCGACCTGACTTTATAGGTGCTTTAGGGGTCCTTTGTGGGGAAAATACCTTCCTTGACTTATAAAGTTGGTGAACCGGCCTCTAGGTGAGGCGATCCAACTTTTGTTGGTGAACCGGCCTTTAGGTGTGGCGACCTGACTTTATAGGTACGTTCTTCCCTTTTATCCGTATTAGAAACTTTAGTCACCGGTATTTTTCTTTTATAAAATTTAAAAAAAAATAGTTTACTTGATTTAAAAATAAAATTTTTATTTATTATTTCGTGAAATAAACTCAATTTTTTAAAAAATGTTGAATCTGAGACCTCCATCTAATAAAGGATTTGTTACCCCACCTCCACGTCTACCTACTCCTTCACCAATTATTCAAGGTGAATATGAAGTTGAGTCAATACTCACCTCAAGAATCGTTCAGAACTTAACAACTGGTTTTACCTCTCGTCAATTCCTTATAAAGTGGAAAAGATACTCTTATCAAGAAATGACTTGGGAAGATGAGAACAATCTTTCAGTATTTTTGCTTTTATTTTTTATTTTAACCGAATATTTACAGGATTGCCAAGACCTTAGACATAAATGGTTTAATCTCCATATTGAAGGGACAACGCCTGTCCACGAAATTAGGAGTTCATCCGAGTTACCTTCTCCTCCCAGATATAAATACAAAGGATGGACTGATGCCGAACTTTCAGACGATGAGGAGCATGATCCAGAATGGCGACCTTTAAGGAAAAAACTTAAGCGTCAACGCTTAAATTTTGGTAGATTAATTTAATTAACTATCCCCTTTATAGTTTATTTTTTATAAGGTAATGAAATCTCTCAGCCTGGGACATCAAATGCGGAACTTATATCTCTAGTAATTTTAAATTAACAAAATGATTTAGATATTGTTATTATTATTATAGATTGGTTCTTGTGAGGGAAATCAGGAAGAACTTTTACCAACACCAAATTTAACTCAAGTAGATTTAAAATTTCTATATCATTATAAAAAATTTTCGTATCATTATCTTTAAAGGTCTGTCTAGAGAGTCCAGCATGGAAATTGAAATAACTGAAAACTATGCCCCAATTTTGCCTCAAGATTGCACAAAACCGTTATGTTTGTATCAGACGATTAAGAAGCGGAAGAAGCATGGAGGAAGAGTAATATTATTTTTGCAAATATTCTAATGAATTATAAATTAATATTTGATAGGACTTGTGTGGTGCGGAAAGAAAACGCCGCCGCAGGGCAAAATTACTTGGAGAGGGTACTTCACATGAAAATAATGAATGATTTTAAAAAGGAAAATAAGTTTTAAAATCATTTTGTTTATTTTTAATAATTTATTTAATTAAAAATTTGATTATTTTATTCAATATAAAATACTTTTAAATACTTTTGATCATTCTAATCCTTTTTAAGTGAGTGACTATGTAAACAAAACAAGTTTTAAAATATTTTTTTAAATATTTTCTTCTCTTTTTCATACTCAACCAATAGTTACTCCAAAACAGTGACAGATGTTCAAAAAATATTTTTTTCTTTCTATAGAGCCATGTCCTATTATTCTCTATTTATTCAATCTTGACCTATGATTTATTTCTTCAGAGAACTGCAAAAATTGTTAATACTTAAAAGAGAATATTTTATTCATTTTCTCTCGTATACCTCTAGAATTGACCTATAATTATGTATTTAGAGTGAGAAATGTGAAAATAAACCAATGTTTATGAAAGGTGATACAAATGGTAAAGTAATAAAACTAAGAAATGAGGGGTCAACTAATAAAAAATATATAAATAAATTAATTTAAAATATTTACTAAAATTAAAGTTAAAATTACAAAGTTTAATTTTCAAGTGATTTCTAAAAAATTTTAAGTTTTCTTTACAATTTTCCTCTTTTTGTTCGATAGTAAGTCAGTTGCATCACAATTTTCTTTGACACAGTTGTCGCATAATTCAATCTTTATGATCACTCTATCACCATTGCATACTATTTTGTCTTTTGAATTGAAGAGTCGATTTTGACACCCTAAAATTTTAAATTAAAATTCATATATAAAATAATAAATAACCATAGCAAAGGTGATATTGCAGAACAGTTTTCCCTTTTACAAGTTTCCAAAGAAGCTTTTCTGGAAAAGCTGTTGGTGGTTGTACCATTTTCTCTGTATTCATAGGAAGAGTCGGAGGTGGGGATGTTTGTTTCATAACTGTCTTTAAAGGAACAGTCTGAGGTGGTGATGGTTGTTCCGTCATTGTTTTCAGAGGAAGAGCAGTAGGTGGTGATGGTTGTTCCATCATTGTCTTCAAAGGAAGAGCAGGAGGAGGAATGGTAGGATTAAATTCAGGAATAATTTGGCTCATTATTTTTTGAAAAATTTCTAAATGATTTTAATATTTTAGTGGAAGTCAAATAAAGCTTAAGATTGTCGGGGTTAGGGGGAGGAATCGGATGGTGTATGTCAGTATTGTAGGGGTAGGGGTAGGAGGGGTTTTTGATTCCTTTCATTTTCCAAAATCATTTTAAAAATTTTCCAATATTTGAATATTTTCAATTATCCTCTATACAATAAAAATGGTTCTCCTGATTGATGAGATAGCTAGAATTTTAAAATGCAGTGTTAACTCATTGCGCTATCAACTTATTCACCCTACAAATCGTGATAAAGTTTTAAAACAACTAAAGGGAAAGAAACTAAAAACAACTTATTTGGACAATAATGGGATGAGTAAAACTATATTTTTTGACGACTTGAGTAGAAATGGGGCAAATAGTATTCTCGCTTATGGACGACTTTCTTCACCTTTTAATATTAATGTTGCAGCGCATTTTTATGCACGTCATCGCATAAGACTTAATCATCCATATCATCTGTGTGTAGTCCAGAAAAATACTCATGAAGATAGATATTACCCTTTGGAATTATTAGAATTAGCGGAGGAAGAACCATTATCAGGGTGGATGGCAAATATTTTTATCGATAAAACAACTCAGTCAATTTCACAACAATCTGAAAAAGATTTTGATGTAGCATCACCTGTACCTCTTTCCGACTACGATGATAATCTTTGTTATGGAGGAAGAAAATTTAGTCAATCGGTAGATGATTTTGAATACATGCAAGGATGGTGATTTTATACACGTAGGAAATACACGCGCATACAATTTACACATGCATATATACATTTTTACCACTTTTTTGTATATTTTTACTAAAAAACACCAAAAAACAGTAAATTTTATCTTCTTTTCCTTAGTTTTTTCAAAATTGTATCTTCTATCCACTAATTATGCTATTTTACCCTATAAATCGATAACTTCCACTTGTTAAATTTTTCGAAATAGTATTTCCCTTTTCTTAATTTTGATTTCTAAAATTAAATTTGTATCTTCTTTTCCTTAATTTTTTCAAAATAGTATCTTCTATTCAATAATTTTTTAAAAATTGTATCTTCTGATCACTAATTATGCTTTTTTACCCCTAAAATCGATATCTTCCATTCCTTAATTTTTTCAAAAAAGTATTTTCCATTGCTTAATTTTTTCAAAAAAGTATTTTCCAATTGTAAATTTTTATTTAAAAATAAATATTATGAAATTTTTGAAGATTTATTGGACTAACGTGTAATGATATAATAATTTAATTAAGCAACACTGTTAACTAACAAAAGAAAGTTAGCTAATCAAAAGTTAGGTAATTAAATCTATAGGTTTAAGATACTGGGCAACTTTTGAAGTTTATATTTTTTATGAAAAAGTTTTGATGTAGTGAATCTATTTTTCCTTAAGGGTATGTAAATGGTATATAAAAATTGGTCCTAAACGTAAAAATTTTGAATATATAAGGCAAAGTCAAGGTACGATTAAAATTTATACTTGTGTTTTGCATTTTTCTTCTCAATTTCAACTCGGATACGACTAGAATTAATCAATGACTTAGATTATATCCATAAGGCTCGCGCATGAAAATGCGTGCATACAAAACACACGCCCCTATAAAACACACGCGCATATAAAACACGTGCATACATGCATTTTCTACCACTTTTTGATATTTTTTACTAAAAAACACCAAAAAACAGTAAAATTCATCTTCTTTTCCTTAATTTTTTCAAAATTGTATCTTCTATCCACTAATTATGCTTTTTTACCCCTAAAACTGCTATCTTCCATTTGTTAATTTTTTCAAAATAGTATTTCCTTTATCTTAATTTTAATTTACCAAAATAAATTTGTATCTTCTATTTCTTAATTTTTTCAAAATAGTATCTTCTCTTCCTTAATTTTTCTGAAATAGTATCTTCTAATCCTTAATTTTTTCAAAATAGTATCTTCTATTCACTAATTATGAGTTTTTCACCCTAAAATAGATATCTTCGATTCCTTAATTTTTTCAAAAAAGTATTTTCCATTCCTTAATTTTTTCAAAAAAGTATTTTCCATACCTTAATTTTTTCAAAAAATTATTTTCCATTTGTAAAATTTTTATTTTGAGCTGTCATGTTCTTCAATCCATTCTTTCTTCTTTGAATACCGGATCATCATTGTTTCGCTGTTTAATTCTTCGATTGCTGCAACTTCTATAGAATTGTTGTGAATATACTCTCCAAGCTCAGCTAGGTCGTCTGTGATGTGTGTTTGAGTAAATCCTTGATTTCTTAATGAAAAACGCCCCCAGAGATTATTTACAGCCAGCTTCGCAATTGCCCTCTTTCCTTTATTTGGTATCATCTTTTCCCTTTCTATCTTCATTTCAAACATTTCCCAACACTCTTTTACAAATTTCTCTTCTTCTTCTCTATTGCCTCTTATCTTTTCATCAAAACCGGAAGCGTGGATTTTATGAGCAAGAAATTCCCGCATGTATGGACGGAAAAGCTCGTTGTCTGACTGTTGATATTCTAATACACGATATATTTTGGTGACAATATATCCTTCGTCCAATGCTGCATTTAATTCTATAGATGTGCATGTGCTGACCCATCCTCGTTGTCTATCACTATGTTGGCAATTATATGTTTCATTTCTTCCTCCTTTTGGGTACATCTTGGCACATTTCGCGCACAAAGGGAAAAGTAATCTTTCTTCATCTAATTTTACAGGTAGGATTGGAATATCAATATTTTTTGGTGGAATAACAAATACTTTTAGGAGTGCCAATGTGTATTTGTTGTCTGTAGATGTTGTCCAAGTTACTTCTTTATTTAAATTGTGAACAATAGGGTGTCCAATAGGGTAGTTCGTAATAAAATTGGTGAACGGGTAAAGTGATGTTACGTCATAATAGGATATTTTTTCTCCTTCTTTGGCCTCGTGGAAAAGTTTAATTGGTCCTGTGCGCCCTCCAAAAAAGCAATCTCTTATTTCCAGTGGTCCTTCATCCAAATAATTATCAAATTTTTTCTTCATTTCCCTATCTCTTCTTAACATTTTTTCAATTTCACACTGCCAAAAAACTTTAACTTCTTGTACCTGGGTCAAAATATACTCCATTCTTTCTTTATCTTTCTGTCGTTTCTTTCCTGCTGTAAATCCGTTAGGTAAAATCATGTTGTCACTGGGGTAGCATTCCTTACATCCATGCCATGCGCATCCATTAACTTCTATCCCCAACTGTTGTTCTTCTATCCACCCATCTAATTTATATTTTCCCACCACTTTTTCACCTTTCCAATGAGCTGTTTGAATTTCAACGTTGTTTTCCTCTCTGTACCACTGGAAGAACTTCAAAGCTAAGAGACTTTGGTTATCAACATTTTCATATCCTCTTTCAGGGACTATTGCCAGATGTTCCTTTTGTAAATGATTGGTGCGGAAATGCTTCATACACGCACTTGCAATAGTCATACACTCCCTCAAAGCATCAATTCCATTATGTGAAGCTCTCTTTGTTGTTTCAAAAAATTCATTTCTAAAGGCTATAAGCGCGCACATCAATATTTCAACATCATTAGTACAGTAGCTTGCTAGAGCTTCATCCAATAAGAAGGGTGTATTTTTATTCTCTTCGTACCAATTATCAAATTCTCTTCTTTTAGCGGGCATCATTCCATCTGCCAAATAATCTTCTTTTGAGGGGAATATTCTTTTTCCATAGTTCTCTGGTCGGTTTGATAAATGCGGGAAAAATGGCTTGTCTTCTACTTCTAAGCCAAATGTTGGGACCAAGGCTGCTAGAGCCATCGGCATTAAATTATAGGAGTCTCGAAATACAATATTTGGATTTGAATTTGGTCGTTTTGCTACTTTCATTTCATAAAGTTTGTTGCCTTTCATAATTAATTCAGGATTTAAATTTTGGCTGTATAATTTTTCAAAGACCAGAACCATATCGAAACGTCCACCAAAGTGGGAGTAGACGTAGGTGTCGTAGTTGTTTGGAAGGTCGTATAATATCCATAGAGCAAAAGCTTCTAGAGGATTTTGCGAAATAATTTTGTGATCTGTATTTGTATCGTTGTAAGGCTGTTGTGAAAATGTAATGGTGCGGTGGGGGCCGCATACTTTGCAAATTTTATTTTTTAAACTTTTTTTCCATTCCCCTGTTGTAATACATTTTGGACATACAATCTTTGCTGCAATAAAATTAGTTTCATGAATTCTTTGTTGTTTAGCTGGATTCGAAATTTTGTGCTGCATTGTTTCTAAGTCAAATGCTACCAGTCGATATGGATCTCGTTGCTTTAGCGTAAGAGGTTTTATGTAGCACCCTCTTTTTGGATCATGATAGTCTCCACATTTTGCACAATATTTTTCATTACATACATGTCCTTTTCTACCTTTATAAGTGTTAATTTCTACGCGCCAAATTTCACCACATTTTTCACATTGTTTAGAATTTTTACAAAATTTGCTTTTTAAATGATGTAAGAAGCAATCGAGATTTTCAAATGTTTTATAACAATCTTTGCATTTCCTATAAATATCAAAAATCAGCTAAATTTATTTTAATAAAAATACCTATTAAAATTTTCTTTTTTGCAAGGGAACTTTGGTCCCATTTGAGAACACTTCAAGCAGCGTGAAAGACATTTAGCAGTGTGCTTTTGAGGTTTGCTGTAAACCATTTCACATGAAAGACAATAGGATTGACCAAAAATATTCCCAACTTTTTTAACTCCGTCGAAATGTTTGTTGTCGTAATAAAGAATTATAGGGGTATCATAAATCTCTGGTCCATATTTATACTTTGGCTTGTAGTTTCCAGATGATCCAAAAATAAAGACTTTGAATGTAAATTTTCCATTATATTTGTTGTTCCAATAGTCAACGACTGGTCCAACCCAGTCCTCTGCCGCATATTCTTTTAATCCAAAGACAGCTCCCACTTCTTTAATAAGTTCATAAGTTTCTTTTTTTAATTTATTCCTAGATCCATAACGACTGTGCAAATAATTGTAAAATTGGGAGCGGGAAAGTCCTCCTGTGTTGCTAACAAGTGTTGCTTGTAATGCAAAGAAAAGGCAATGATTTTTGCCATCGATATTATCGACCTAAAGAATATTTTCTATTTAAAATCTTTTTACGACCATACCTTAATCAAACATTGTTGATTAATCCTGTGGTGTGTAGAAGCATTTTTACGACCTCCAAGAATTTTTTGTCTTTCAGGCATATTTTTTGTGTCAAGTGTTGTTACAATTACATCAAATGGTTTACCCCACAACGTTATCCCTTGTTGTTTTTTGCTTTGGCCTACTTTTAGAAATTGATTTAAAATTGAATCGATAGTATTGTCGTTAATCTGTCTAATAGGAATCCATACATCTGGGTCAAGTAATTCGCTGCTTATGACACACCCCAGTTGGTCGGCTTCGTAACCCTTTTCACGCGCTTCTTTAATTGTTGCATCAATACAATAGTGGAATATACCTGCGAGCAGCCCTTCGGGGTCTGCGGGAATATCCTGAATTTGAAACTTTGTGCGGCATTTGGTGTAACGGAATTTTTGATTGTGAATAATCTGTTGATCTAACTTTGTAACGAATTTTTCAGGATGTCCGTTGCCAACTTGCGGTAATTCAGTTAAATTTGTTGGTGAAGAAAAATTTCGTGAAAGAATATTTTCAATAAAAAATGCGCGAGAATTTTCTGAAGAAAGTTTTGCACGTTTGGTTGGTGGAGGACTCATTATTAATAATAATTAGTTGAAAATTGAAATATTTTAATTAAATTTTCTAAAGTTAAGGGAAAATTTATTTTAAATTAAATAAAAGGAAGAGAATTTAAAATTATTGATTTTATAAATATTTTATAAAATTTGAAAAAATTTTAATAATAAATAGAATGAATGAAGAATAATGGTGGAAATTCAATTTTGAATAAATAAAAAGCTTCTGTGCTTAGAAGTGTTTTCTAGAGGGAAATGGAGGGTACTAAAGATCGAAGTGAGTACTAATGGAGTAAGATCTGCTAGGCTTTTTATTATGGGAAAATCTTAAATTAAGATAATTTGTTATAAATTATCGATTTTTTCAAACTCTGTAAATTTTAAAAAGTATAAGGAATGATTGTTAAAAAATGATGGAAATTATTTATGAACGAGATACAAGCTTCTGTGCACAGAAATGATTAAAAGGGAGTACTAAAGATGGAAGTGAGTACTAAAGTATAAAGAGATCCCTATGGCTAGACGCCTTATCCCTGTGGATAGATGCAAAATTATTTATATTATTAAGAGATTTATAGGATTGCACTAAAGAAAGAAATTAAAAGAAGGAACTTAAAATTATTGATTTTTCTAAAAAATTTGGAAAATTTTATGAAAATTGATGAATGACTGTTGAAAAATTAAAAGATTTATCCCTGTGGATAGATGCAAAATTATTTATATTATTAAGAGATTTATAGGATTGCACTAGAAGAAGGAAATTAAAAGAAGGAACTTAAAATTATTGATTTTTCTAAAATTTGGAAAATTTTATGAAAATTGATGAATGACTGTTGAAAAATGATGGAAATCATTTATGAATATGATAAAAAATAGTTGGCAGGCTTAAAATTTATTTCGGATAGCAAAAGATGTAAGCGGAGCTAAGATTTTAGTAGCATTTATTCCTATGGATAGATATCATATTCATATAGATAGATTATTCCTATGGATAGATGTGAAATTATATATATATATATATTAAGAGATTTATGGAGAAAGGAAAAATATGAAAGAAAATTTGTGTAAGGCTTGAAGGAAAAATATGATGTTAAACCAGTTAAAAATTTTAGTAAAGGATATTAATATTCAAATATTAAGGATATGAATAAGAAGGTTTATGAATTTTAAATTAAAAAAAGAAGTAATTAATTTTAAACGTTACAAAATATTTTTTTCCATTATTATTAAATAAAAATTTAAAAAATAAAAATTGTCGAATAAATTCAAATGATGATGGTTCTTTGGTGAGAATACTTTTTCGATGTATGTTACCCTTATTTTCGACTTTATACTATTATAGCAAAAAGCCACGCCCTCTTAATGACATTTGGATGCGGCTGAATATCCTTTTACTATATTTCCTATGGTAATAAATGGAAGAACATAAATATTTAATCATTTTATCTACAAATTTTTTAACAAATAAATCTGGATTAGGTTCTTTATTTAACATATTAATATAGTCATTAAATGTACAATTTTGAGAGAGAAAAAATATAAAACATATACAGTGGTGGGCACATGTTTTGGCTAAAGGGGATTGGTAGGGCTTACAATTTCTAAGTATTTGTGGGAATTGGTGTAGGAATTTATTAATTATACATCCAGTTTTGGGTTTTTGAGTATTAAAAAGTGTTAAACTATCGAAATAATTAATTGGCCTTTCTTTTCCATCTGCATATATTGCCACCCAGTGAGATCCTTCTAAATGTTGGGGGTCCAAGTTCAAAATGAATGCTGCGGGGTATTGTATCGAAGTATAGTCTGGAAGTCGGTCACACGATAGACACCCTTTGAACACCTGATTCGTTTGTGGATTTGATTCCATTATTTTTGTAATCTGTATACTGTTCATCTAATATTTTAGGTTCTATTTCTTTGTTTTCTTTTCTATTTTTTCTCGAAGGGATCGTATTCCCTAACCAAACAAATGAGCGTAATTGATAAATAATTAAACTAAGCACTAGCAATGCATAGAGGAGGAGCATTACCCAGCAATAGACATGGGTATAGTAATTTTCACTTGATGAAGGCGCATCCTTGCATAACTGTATAGAGGGAAAATTAGCAAAGGGACCAATAGCAGATTTCCTTGGCAAAGCCTGAGTTGTTGTTAAAATTATGTCTGCCAGCTACTTGTCTTAAATATTCGGAATACTCGGGTAATTCTTTGATATTAACCCCTTCTTCAACAGTTAATCCACATATTGGAAGGAAAATTCTTAATATTAAAATAATAAAAGAAACTTTTTTAGAAAACATTTTTATTTCTGTAATAATAAATACAATTTGAAAAAAAGAGTGAATGAAATGATAATAAAAGAAATGATAAATCAAATAGTTGTATCACTGGTAATCGTTCTATTCTTATCGAGCATTATAAGTGAGTCAGCTTCACCCATTACTATGAGCATTACCCCTCCCTCTGGAATTGGTCGGCTAAATTTTATATTAACAGCTGTTGTACCATTTTTAATTAAATCAAAAAGTCCACTTTGATCCTCGCCACTATTTGTAAGGTTAAATACAAAGATGCAATGCGTGTAGGCATATTGCTCAAAAGTTATTCCGTTGCTTTCCAGAGAATTTGAAAAACCTATAGCCTCATTCATATCATTAAAAGCTCGCGCGAACTTTCCATTGGGGAAATCCAAGTCATAGGGAGCCTGGGGGTAACTTCGACCGTTTGCAATTATACTAATTTCTCTTATATTGAAGGATTGAAAATTAAAAGGGCTTCTGTCAATAGCTCCCACGTAGTCATTATTTGAGACTAACCCCAGTATAATTCTTCTAGGAATTTGATCCATAAATAAATTTGCATTGAACTCATAGCGACCTTGACTAATAAATAAGGGTTTCATCATTGTCTTCCTTATGGCATATCTTGCGGGCCTAATATCCAACTTTTTTGCTATATCGAGCGCTAACCCATCCATTATATCGACTTTCTTTACATATAGTTTACAGTTAGTTACTTCGAAACGGTAACGATTTGTTTGAGGAATTCCTGCTGCTGTTGGTGGGGCAATTAATACAAAGCGCGAATCATTAGGGAGAATTTCTATATCTATTTCACAATGGTTAATTAAATATAAGGGTTGGTTGAAAAGGTCGGCATCTATCTTTGCCATAAACTGTGCTGTATTGCTTGTCCCAAAACGTGCTTTCCTCGAATTAAATCCTATTCCTGCCTGTAAGTTTAATCCCGTGTCTCCATAATACCCCGCAACATTTAGATGCGAATTTTTTGCCGCTGTTGAAAAGCTTAATTCGTGTGAAAGGTAAGACTTGTATGCCATTAACGAATTGGAGTTGAAAACTTCTCTTCCATTTATACTTATTCTCATATTATTAACAAATGTGTGACCAATTAATTGGATAGGGGCAACAATGTCGTTTTCGCTTAGATTTACCCATGTGCCGTTTGCCCCTTCTTTTCTTATACGGAATTCAGTAAATAAGTAACATTTTGTGAGATCAATATAATTTTGACTAGAGTGTATTTTGAAGTGATATGGTGTATCGGTAAGGGGGTTACTTGGTAGAATTTCAAAAACTTTTGTTGAAGAAATGCTCACATTTGTGGGAGGAATTTGAAAAAAGTCCAATGCATTTGTAATCGAATTAATACTATCTTTATCTATTTTGTGGTATGCCATTTTTGTAATCCTTTTAAATTTAATAAAGTCCGAATGCGTCTGATCTGACTCGTTTTTTGTTAACTTTTCCAATAATGATTTTGTGATTTTGCTGGGAATACTTTCTTTTATCTTTTATACTTTTTCTTGAACCACCGCCACTTCCAAATTGTTTAGGCATGCCTCCCTTCTCAAGTAGTGTGTCTATCCCCTTCTTTCCCTCACTAGCTAGAGCATCTTTGATATTCTCTCCCTGGTTTACTCTTTCTAACACACGCTGCCCCGTGTTTAAAGCTTCAGCTGATACAGTAGTCCCCACACGACGAACAATAGGAAGAAAAAAGCGCCAAAGTCCTCGAAGAACATCGCCTATTCCCGCACCACCTTGTAATCCATATCCTCTTTGAAAAGGGGAAGCTCCTTTGAAATAAGTATAAGTATTTTCTAAACCGTTCCCTTCTTGTATATTTAAAGGTGTTTGAATAAAATCATCATATCCTACTGTAGAAGTATCGAATAAAATATGAACCATTTTTATTAAATTAAAGTTATGAAAAAATATGAATGAATACAATAAATGGATGGATTTTAAAAATTTATCACTTTTTTGAATATCAATACTATTAAAACTGTTCCGTATGCGAAAGGAACTAATCGTCCATTATCCAATGTTCTTAACTCGATCTCTATCTCATTAATCTCTCTAGGTAGGACACGGGCATAAATAGGTGTATCATAAATCTTTTCGTTATATTCTCCTGGTGTTGCGCCAGAGACCGAAACTACACGCAGAAGAGAGCTGAGTGAATTCCCAATAATCATATTCTCTGTAAGACCATTTGCATATACAGCAAAACTAGAAAATCCTCCCCTTAGATCAGATCCATATTTTGCAACTTCCTTATTTTTAATATTTTGAGGGTTTTCAAATCCTAGAACATATCCTAATTGTGGTGACAAAGAAATGTGATCAATATTTTCATGATTAAATAAAAGCAGACTGGTGCATGGATACGGATTTTGCTATCCGTATCCGGATATATCCGTGAGGTCAATATCCGTATCCGTTTGTATCCGTCCAACTTTTTAGGCATATCCATCCGCGGATATCCGCGGATATATCCGTTTTTTCTCAAAATGGTCAGACTGGCTAAAATTTTCAAAATGGTCAAATTTATTTTAATTCGAGTAATGGTTAGATAATGCTGTAATAACTGCATGCAACAAAACGAACCTTGCTTATGAACATCGGAGGTTCGAAAATAGGAAGGCAGAGTTCGGAATTCCGACCCAACGCTGCATAACAGGGATTATACCGACAAAAAATAAAATTCTGAAAATTTTTGATAATTTTTGAAAATTTAAATTCCCGATTTCGGGCCGAAATGAAAATCTCTGTTAACTGACCAGTTGATTTCAGCGCTGCAGGCGAAAATTTTGAGAATTTCGGAAGACCATGAAGCAAAAAATCTCATTTTTAGCGCCGCAGGCGAAAATTTTGAAAATCTTAGAAGGCCATAGGCCAAAAAAATTCACTTTTTTGCCCAATCTCCTCATCAAATTTATCCCTATTCCCCATTTCGAGAGGGGGGTGGAGAATTACCCCTCTCTCCCTCCCTCCCTGGTTATGAGCCTGGTATAGGTTTTTGGACCTCCAAAAAAAGGAATTATCGTTTGCTCAGCTAAAAGTGAATTTTTTCGGTTTATGGCCTTATAAAATTCTCTGAATTTTCGCCTGCGGCGCTGGAAAGCAATGAAATCTGGTTTCTTGGCTTTTAAAATTCTAAAAAAAATTTTGCACTGAGTAGGGCTCCCCGAGCCTTCGGGTTCGGGATCGTTGGGGATCAGCGTTTGCCGGTCAGGGCATGTCGTGGTCCGGGGTCTTGGTTGACTTTTGGGTCGGGGTTAGGAGTCATGTGCGAGAATCAATTATCTCCTGGCGTTGGGAATATAATTATTTTCTCTTGGCAAAATGTATTTTTATAATTTAACCATGGATTTAATCACAGAAATTAGGGAAAATTAGGGACGGATATCCGCGGATTTGGAAGAAAAAAGCGCCAAAGTCCTCGAAGAACATCGCCTATTCCCGCACCACCTTGTAATCCATATCCTCTTTGAAAAGGGGAAGCTCCTTTGAAATAAGTATAAGTATTTTCTAAACCGTTCCCTTCTTGTATATTTAAAGGTGTTTGAATAAAATCATCATATCCTACTGTAGAAGTATCGAATAAAATATGAACCATTTTTATTAAATTAAAGTTATGAAAAAATATGAATGAATACAATAAATGGATGGATTTTAAAAATTTATCACTTTTTTGAATATCAATACTATTAAAACTGTTCCGTATGCGAAAGGAACTAATCGTCCATTATCCAATGTTCTTAACTCGATCTCTATCTCATTAATCTCTCTAGGTAGGACACGGGCATAAATAGGTGTATCATAAATCTTTTCGTTATATTCTCCTGGTGTTGCGCCAGAGACCGAAACTACACGCAGAAGAGAGCTGAGTGAATTCCCAATAATCATATTCTCTGTAAGACCATTTGCATATACAGCAAAACTAGAAAATCCTCCCCTTAGATCAGATCCATATTTTGCAACTTCCTTATTTTTAATATTTTGAGGGTTTTCAAATCCTAGAACATATCCTAATTGTGGTGACAAAGAAATGTGATCAATATTTTCATGATTAAATAAAAGCAGACTGGTGCATGGATACGGATTTTGCTATCCGTATCCGGATATATCCGTGAGGTCAATATCCGTATCCGTTTGTATCCGTCCAACTTTTTAGGCATATCCATCCGCGGATATCCGCGGATATATCCGTTTTTTCTCAAAATGGTCAGACTGGCTAAAATTTTCAAAATGGTCAAATTTATTTTAATTCGAGTAATGGTTAGATAATGCTGTAATAACTGCATGCAACAAAACGAACCTTGCTTATGAACATCGGAGGTTCGAAAATAGGAAGGCAGAGTTCGGAATTCCGACCCAACGCTGCATAACAGGGATTATACCGACAAAAAATAAAATTCTGAAAATTTTTGATAATTTTTGAAAATTTAAATTCCCGATTTCGGGCCGAAATGAAAATCTCTGTTAACTGACCAGTTGATTTCAGCGCTGCAGGCGAAAATTTTGAGAATTTCGGAAGACCATGAAGCAAAAAATCTCATTTTTAGCGCCGCAGGCGAAAATTTTGAAAATCTTAGAAGGCCATAGGCCAAAAAAATTCACTTTTTTGCCCAATCTCCTCATCAAATTTATCCCTATTCCCCATTTCGAGAGGGGGGTGGAGAATTACCCCTCTCTCCCTCCCTCCCTGGTTATGAGCCTGGTATAGGTTTTTGGACCTCCAAAAAAAGGAATTATCGTTTGCTCAGCTAAAAGTGAATTTTTTCGGTTTATGGCCTTATAAAATTCTCTGAATTTTCGCCTGCGGCGCTGGAAAGCAATGAAATCTGGTTTCTTGGCTTTTAAAATTCTAAAAAAAATTTTGCACTGAGTAGGGCTCCCCGAGCCTTCGGGTTCGGGATCGTTGGGGATCAGCGTTTGCCGGTCAGGGCATGTCGTGGTCCGGGGTCTTGGTTGACTTTTGGGTCGGGGTTAGGAGTCATGTGCGAGAATCAATTATCTCCTGGCGTTGGGAATATAATTATTTTCTCTTGGCAAAATGTATTTTTATAATTTAACCATGGATTTAATCACAGAAATTAGGGAAAATTAGGGACGGATATCCGCGGATTTGGAGCATTATATCCGTATCCATCCGTATCCGTCCGATTTTTAGAAAAACACTATCCATATCCGTCCGTATCCGCGGATACCCGCGGATATCCGGATATTATCCGTATCCATGCACCAGTCTGAATAAAAGTCGAAATCTTGCAAAATCTATGTTGTATTCAAAAACAATTGAGTCTATAATATTTTTAAGCAGGGTCAAATTTCCACTTAATCGTATACCACCCCTCCATAATAAAAATTTTGAACTATCACTGTAATTATTGTTATCCGACACAGTTTCCTCCCCTATGGAAAATTCAAACTCTTCCTCTTCTTTATTTGTTTTATTGTTTTCCTCTTCTTCAATTTCTGCTAATCCTAATGAAAAGAAGGGAGTAGTGATGACAGGTGTTACAATTGTTTTCTTAATTCTATCATTTTCTATTTTTTCTAATGATTTTGGTTCTGGATCTTTTCTATCTTTTTCAATTTTAGTAGGGGTTGGTGTAGTAATGACCTTTTCACCTTTTATTTGACTTTTCTCATTCTTTGCTTCCACTTTCTGACCATCTGTTTTTAAAGGTTTTTGAGATGGAACATTTTCATTGGTTTTTATTTTTCCTTCATTATTGGGTTGCGCAACATATTTTTCTTGTTTTGGTTGGTCTTGTGTCAATTTTATTTTTTTATTTCCGTCATTTAATATTTGGCTATTTTTATCCACTGTTTTTGGAGGGGAGGAAGGAACAATAACCTTTTGACCTTTATTTAATTCTTTTTTTACATCTGCTATTCTTGGTGGTGAAGATAGCTAAGAAAATAATTAAAAAATTTTTGGAAAAAAAAGTAATTTAATACTTGACTCTCTTTTGGTAGTGGTGGTGGTGAAGAGAGAACATTTCTTTTTATTCGTTTTTCTAATCTTGGAGGGGAAACAATTATATCTTTTGACGTGCTATCAGGATCAAAAACATGGTCTATTGCAGTAATTTGATGTTTAAGTGTCGAATTTAAAAAATCGCATAATTTTTGAACGTTGGTATGCGATGCCCCTGGGATTGGTATACGAAGAATATGCTTCTGCCCTAAATCATCTGTGAAGTGTATTTTTAACCATTGCTCATCCAAAGTTCCAATAGTTGAGGGCCATGAATAAGGATAACTTATACTGTGTAATCCACACACCCAATTCCCATTAAAATAAAGTGGTTTTGGTAAATGTACACGGAATTTATTTGGTCTATTTGATGAATAATCTGGGACATTACTTGGTAAAAATACGAAAAAGCTATTTGACATTTTTATTAAATTTTGTTAAAATGATACAATATGAAAAAATGATTTGTCTTTTATACTAAATCTGATTCGTGAATCCATTCTCTTTCTGGGTACCCGATAAATTTAACAAGTATATCATATGTTCCATCATCTCTTTTCTTTTTCCGGATAACTTTTTCTATGCGGTACTCTGTAGCTGCATCTTTTCTTACTCTAGACATTTCATCTTCATAAAAGGATCCTTTGAATTTTTCCCCTTTATCGTCGCGCAATTTATATAATATAGGATTCACATGATCTTTTACTTTTTCCACCTCTAATATTTCATCTCCCCAATTTGGTAGATAGCCTTTTTCGAAATGACCCTTGTCCCGACTAATTCTTACGTAATCATCCTTTTTAAATTTTGGTTTCTTGGAATTTTTAGTTGAAAAAATATTTCCATAAATTCTCTCCCATACTTTTTGAGCATTTTTAAAATTCACGTCTATTGGACGCATTCCATGCACACGACAGTAAGATTTATTAATTCCTTCAATAATTTTTGGTAAAATATCAGTCCAATTAAGTTTGTGATTTTGCGAGAAATATCGGTAAAGTCTTTGTTTTAAGTTTCTAATAGCCCTTTCTGCTAGCGATGCCTTTACTGTAGAATGAGTTGCTTCATATTTTGATATTTCTTCTTTTTCAAAATATTCTTTTAGTAACCGATTTTTAAATTCAGTCCCTTTGTCAGAAAATATCCTGTGGGGTTTCATAGGCATTTGAGTAATAAGATTACGAAAAGCTTCCAACATGTCTTCTGATTTCTTTGATTTTAAAGGGGTAGTGAAGACTCGTTTGGACAAGACATCTATTCCCAAAAGTATATATCGATTGCCTTTATTATGCCTAGAAAGAGACTGCATATCAGCTAAGTCTACTTGTACATCTGTCATAAACCCTGCTGCAATAGTTTTACTTCTTTTAAAGTTCACCCTCTTTTGGCGCATAAGGGTATAGGTACGGTGCCCCTCCAAATAATGTTTGATTACATTTCTTGGTATATGTTTAAACGTTTTCTTTGCCTCCCTCCATAAACTATCTACACCCGCATAAGCTGAAGGGGAACTAGGATCATTGTAAAGTCTGTCGAGAAGTTTTGTAAAGTCAGCCATTTTTAGAAAATTACCAAAGTGTAGGTTTAAATTTATTAATATCCTCTTGTGTAGGCTTTTGTTTTGCCCATTTATTTTTTCCTAATTTGATCCTTGCAGCGGCTAATCTTTTAATCCAACTTTTTGATGCATTTTCTGATTGTTTCTTTGTAACAGGTCTTCTTAATCTTTTAATAGGGATAAGGGTAGTTCCTTCGGGGATAACAAATTTTCTTTTTAGCTTCTGACGCCTTTTGATATCATCTTCCTTTCTAGCTTGAGCTAAAGCTGATTGATCTATAGGGACTTTATATTTTTTAATATCTCTTTTTCTTTCTAATACTTTTCTTCTTCTTTCTTCTTGCGCAATCTCTTTTAATCTCTCTTGCCTAATATCACTATTTCTTCTACGTTTAAACACATCTGAGTCAGTCGAGTCTAATTCTCTCTTTGATACTTCTAGAGGTATGGGAGGAGAAGGACTTAATGGTGCATTTTGTGATGCTATAACAGAGTTTGGTTCTACAATATCTTCAGGTGGAGAAAATTTTTTATTTGTTTTTCTCTTTCGTTTCCTTTTCTTTTTTATTTCTCTTTTTATTTTAATTCTTTTGCCATTATTTTTCAAATTTCTTTCTAATGCTTGATTTGATGTAGGAGGTCTTGGATCTAATTGTATATTTTGACCACTTTTAGTTGTTGAAGGAATGGAGGATGAAGAAAGAGAAGGGACAATATTGTATGCGTGATTAGGGAGTTCTTGGGGGTAATATGAAAAAGAATTATCACTAATCCAATTGTCGTCGTTATCTATGTCATCATTTGCAGAGATGTAAGATGCGCGCCGTGAATTATTTTTTGGTACAATAGTGCCTTTAGATTTATTGTTAACTAGTTCAACTTTTACTGGTCTATTTTCACGTTCATTTCTCAGTTGTAAATATCGCCTCAACTCTTGATTATAGTGAACGTTTTTAGAGGATTCACTTTCTTTTCTCTTTTTTGAATTTTCTAAAGCACGACGAGTAAAATCTAGATTTGGTTCACCTACATCGCTTGTTGTAAGACCGCGATAAATATCCTCTGGGACAAGAATAAATTTATTTGCCATATTTTTTAAATTTTTATTAAACTTTTTAAAATGAAAATATAATAATGAATGGTTAATTTGTATCGGTATCACTTTGATAATTTTTCTTCCAATTTCTATAAGTATAGGGGTAAGAAGTGCTGTAAGGACACCTCCTAGCCCACTTCCCTCCTGAGAGATAATTTTTCTTGCTCCCCTCTCACTTCTGGCACGACTCATGCGGCGAACAAATTCGGCATAGGGTAAAAGACGTTTCCGCTGGCGAGTAGTTAGTTGATAACGCGCTTTTACAATATTTAAGCATATTTCAGCGATGGCAAGAAGTTGCTGACTGTTAGCTTTTTTAAGCATTCCATGACGTTTGCTATCCGATTTTGATTTTGCCAATGAATTTAAAAAGTCTTTATTATCCATTATAAGTGAACTAATATTGCACTGAGATTTAGACCCCATTTTTAGGAATGAAAATTATTTTTTCGCTGTCGTCTTTAAAAATATTTGTACGAAGACGTAATGTTGGATCTGAAGAAGCATGCATATCAATTAAAAGGTATCCATAAGGAATATTTGTTGCTTGCCGATAGGAATCGAGAAAATAATCTAACTTCTTGGGGAAAAGTTGAGCACCAATGTTTCTAACGGAAAGAACAGAGTTTGGAGAACGCATAATAACTATATACTGTGCATTTTGGCGGGCAACTTTAATTTTCTTTTCAAATAAGTTTTGCGTTACAAATACTATAGAAAAATTTTGGTGGTGTGACTTTTTAGTAAATAATTCCGACAAATATTTTTCATCGATAGAGAGTAATAAATCATCTAAGATTACTAAAGAAGGTTTAGGAAGCCGTTTAATTACATCTTCGGGTGGCACACCAGCGAATACACTTACACCAGATTTTTGAAGAACGGGGACAATATTACTCATTTCACCAAAACAATAGAGAATACTTTTAGGAGGAGGATCGATTAAATCTAATGATTGGGTAATAAATTTTAGGAGAAAAGTACTTTTTCCACTGGAACTTGGTCCAGAAATAATTAGACCGAATGGAAGTTTAAATTTTAATTCTTTACTAGAGAAATTAATTGATTCCATTAAAATAAATAAATAATAGTAATCCAAATAAATGATTTTAAAATAAAAAGATTAGGATTTACAAATCAAGGAAGCGGTATATTATCTAAATTTACAATATGAGGTGGACTTTCTATAACTTCTTTTTCTTGTTCTTTTGTAATTTTTTCTTCACTCTTTTCTTTTTCTATCGGAACAGTGGCTGTAGTAGTAGTAGTAGTGGTACAGCCTATGTTGTCGAAGAATTCCTGAAGAATATTTTCAAATTCTTCATCAGCAGGGATTTCTTGTTTTATCTTCTTAGGTGATGGTGGTTTTATGGGTGATAAAACTTCTTTTATCTCGGGTTGGATATTTTTAATAATAGGAGTCGCTGCACATGGTGGAGATCCATGTTCAATGTTGAAGATTCGACCCTTGTTCTTAATCTATAATTTTAAAAAATATAATTTTTCATTTTTATAATAAATACCTTAAAAAAGCAGTGGCCTGGAAGATCATGGATGGTGTCGAACGGTATAAACGTGGGCGTTTTAATTCGCGTACAATAACAAGTCACCCCCTCCTTGGTTACAACAAAGTCGAGTTCCACTTCAGATCCCTTGCATTCTCGACAGCGACCGGCATGGTCAAAAGGCACAAAACGAGGAGTAGAAATACGTTCGGAAGCAGAAATTGTTAGGCCGTTAGCAGTAATATTAAATTCTATTTCGGGGAGAATTTGTCCTATGAGAGCTTTTTTGTTGGACATATTGATTGCCATTATTTTTTGGAAAAATTTTAAGAATGATTTTAGAAAATGGCAGGAAATTTAATTTTACTTTAAAAATTTTAATTTTTAGTTTAAAAAAGTTTGCAGAATAGCCACGCCCCTTTTTTCAAGACATGTCTATATATGCTATTCCCATTCCCTAGACTTTCATTTGTATATACATATTCGAAAAATGAGAAATATCTCTCCTTACATAAATTTTATAAAAATATAAATTTATTTTTAAATTATTTTTTTAGTAATTTATTAATATATTATTATTTAAATATTTTTTATTATTTTACTATAAGTTTATTTTATATAAATTTAATATAAAATACGAATTTATTTAAATTATTTTTTAATTTATTTTTTTTATTTTAATAATTTATTTGTTATTTGTATTTAAAATTTCTTTGATTCTAGTTCTTAATTCTTTTTTAATTTTTATTTACTTATAGTAACTCACTAGGTTATCACACCGCATAATTATTTTAAATATAGAAATTTTGTGGGAACCATTTAGTTTGCCATCATAAATTAAAATTTTTTGTGGCATACAATTTAAACTTTTATGATGGGAAAACATTTAGTTAAAATATAATAAAAATTATTAATTAAATCCTTTAAAAAAAGTTGCTGGCACTCAAAAGATAAAAAGATAAGTATATCAATTAGTTTCCTTGTATTAATTGACTCAGGGTTTACATTGTATGCCTTTAATAAATTTTGCGCGAAAGTCACCGTCGCGAGAAAAATAATTTGTAATTTACTAGGTTTTCGCCACAGTTTTTTAAAATTTTGCGCGAAAATCACCGTCGCGAGAAAAAATAATTTTTAATTATGCACATGTACTTGCCGGCTTCATCAAAAAGAAAAAATAATTAGTATCTTGAAATTAATTAACTTTCCCTAGGTTTCCAACGGCATTTAAAAATTTTGCGCGAAAAAATTTTTGTAATTATGTACTTGTCGGCATCATCAAAGGGATTAATTACAAAAGATATAATGTTACAAATCGTTTAGTAGGTTTCCGTTGTCCAGCTGGAAATAAGATACCCCAAAACAGTTGTAGACCAAATGTCCTTTTTGTGACAGCCGCGACGGTGAGGGTGGGATAACTACTGCCGCGACGGTCCGGGCCCTGTAACTACTCCCTATGCTAATCAGTCTAAGGAGGGGAATGCCTTTGGCGACAACCCCTATTCAAGATACACCCCATTCTAAGAAACTGTTTTCTCAGTTCCAAGGGCGTATTGAGGTCCGACTGTATTTCAAAAATTTATATTGAACTTTTTTAAATAAAATTATTGCTCTTCAAGAAACTTAATCCTCTTAAAAGTGTGAGAAAAAATCCATTCGTTTTTCTCTAGCTCCAGCCTCGGCACTTTCATTTTCTTCTGATTGGTGTCGATTACGACGTGTTTGAGCCAATGCTAGTTGATATTTTCTGAAAAAATCCGGGTTTTAAATGGGACTTGAATTTGAGACTCAAATGTCATGTCCAACTATGTGTGTCTAACTCAAGACTCAAATGTCAAAAATACCTCAAATAGCCTGAGGGAACAGGATTTCTGACAATTTCATCGTCTTCAGATACATCCTCCCTGTCTACCATTGGCTGATCTTTTTGAAATTGTCTCTCTTCCATTCCATTGTAAAGTGGTTGTGCGAGAAAATCAAATTGTAACGATTTGCTTTTTTGCCGTCCAGTTAATTCAAGAATGAGAACGAAATTTTCGTTTTTCATTACAGCACCGGGCACAAATAGAGTCATCTTTAAGGTATCGAAATGGTCAAAAAATTATTTAAGAGCCCTTACCTGTGGGCCCAACAAGGGCCAATACCGCCCAATGTTAAACCCATTCACCATAGCAATGCCATGCCCCCACCCTCGAGAATCAAAAAATGTATGGGCCAATCTCCAGTCTATATCGGGAGTTGTGAATTTGGCTGCATAAATGGCAGGCTCATCATAGGCAGGTTGTGGAGGTTCAATGCTTAATTATTTAATAATTTTTGAGACTCAGGTGTCCTCCTATTTAAGCCCCACCTTGATGACCCCTTCAAAAGTTGTTGCTCCAAATTTGCTTCCTCAAAAAGCAAAGAACCAGCTGTGTATAAAGCATCTATTGAAACGCCACATTGAGTCCAATAATTACTAACTGAGATACCACCCAAAATTACAGGGGAAAGAATGCCCTTCAAAAAAGAAAATTTTTTTAATATTTTAAAATATTCCGATAACCTTCGGATCAACTTTAGACAGTGGATAGGTTAATCGTCCAGCATTCTCTACAAGTATATCTAAGCGTTGACCAGCACGAGCGTTTATTGTTACTCTTTGAGAGCAGCCGGTTCTGTCACAGACGGTTATGTTTCCCTAGAGGAAAGGGGGACTGTTAGAGAATCTTAGTTACCCCCCCCCCCCCCCCCAACCTTAAATTTCCCGTCCACAAAAATATAAGCATGATCCTTCACCACAGGTATAGTCAACACAGACCCTCCTATTTCAAGTACTGTACTGTACCAAACAAAAGCATGGTCTCTATCGAAAACTTCAAAGTTTAGAGGGCGAGCCCCATTTGAATGTATACATTGTTGTTTTGTATGGGTGGAGTTTAAGAGTTTGATGAAATTTGGGAGACGGAGGGCTGTAATGCCGTTTATTGCAATTCCTCTGAAATGTTAAATACAGTATTTATTTTAGGATGTCTCTCAATATTGCTTACTATTTCATCCTTTCACTAACCGTCTCTCAATTCTCCCACTATCTCATTTTTCTCTGACCTAATTTTTCTCTAACCGTCTCTCAAATCTGCCTACTATCTCATTTTTCTCTGACCCAGTTTTTTTTCTCTAACCGTCTCTCAATTCTATCCACTATCTCAACTTTATCCTACACTCAGAAAAATACCCACGTTCTGTTTGGCGGTAGAGGCAAAGGAGTATTTGGCCATTCTTGTTTTGAGCCAATCCAATTTCTGATTGCTCTATATAACGGTGTTATTTGCCCTTCTTCGCTTATCGGAGCAGCATAATCGTATGAAGTTATCACCTTTTAGAGAAATATTTTTAGATTATTTTTCTAGACATACAGGGCCATCTGGTTCTCTCCCATTCCAGAATCCAAAATTCGTTCCACCATGGATCATGTAGAAACTAAGAAATAATTTAAGACTCAAGTGTCCTCAAACGCCTCAAGGGAAAAACCAGACCGTTAGAGTCCCAGCAAGAAATTATTTCAGACTCTAGTGTCCAAAAACGCCTTAGAGTACCATTAGAGTCAAGAAATACTAAAGGTCGGACTCTAGTGTCACAAAATGAAAATCTGGCCATTAGAGTCCCAACAGTCAAGAAAGTTATATCCTCACCTGAAAGAGGCATTCAACTGCCACATGACCTCTATCGAATCAACAACATTTTTAATATCTTGTCTGGGCACAGAACGATCTCCCCACATTGAAAACCAAGTCGTATAAAATTCAGAATTTACATTCGGCCCTCCACCAGAAAACTTTCTTTGAACTTGGAATTTTTTGCTAGCAGAGTCTATAGTCTGGGGGGCACCAAAGTCAACAGTCTTTTAATTTGCGAATATTTTTTTTAAATTAAACAAATTACGGGAAAGGTGCCCGGAACGGAGCCACATCGCACCATGTTCTCGTTAAAGCCATCGGCTGTAAAGGGAATATTAAGGGGGAAATTAACTTTTGGATAATTAGAAATTAAATTTTTTTGGGAATTTTGTACTTTTGACATTTTGAAATAAAAAATATTTTTTTCATTTTGTCTTTTGACATTTTGAAATTAAACTTAATTTTGGCATTTTGTCATTTTGTGTACTTGTGTAGTTTACACCCCATAAGCCCCGCCCCTTTTTCTTTTATCTTTTTTCGCTCTTCCCCCTATAAAATGACCATTTGGGTCAATATTTTTATTAGCATTGTCTTCTAAAGAAAAGGAAGAGAAAATAGAGTGGCAGGACTTATGGGGGGTAAACTGCACAAGTACCGTCATTTTGAAATAAAACGATTGTTTGGCGTTTTGTCGCTTTGACATTTTTAAATAAAAATGATTTTTGGCGTTTTGTACTTTTAACAATTTGAAATAAAAATGATTTCTGGACATTTTGTACTTTTACCATTTTGACACTACATAAAAGATTCCTACTTGTATAAAGCACTACATCATTCCCAAGTTGTTCCCTAACAATATCCCTCAACCAAATCGTATAAGCATGGTCACAAAGAACAGAACCATATTCATTTTCGATCTGTAGCATAATAATAGGACCCCCATTCTTGTAGAGGAGAGGACGAAGTAAGGGGAGAAGTACATTAAAATAGCGTTTGACATAGCTGAGATATCTGAAAAGGTGTGTGATTTTCTGATTGTTCTAATTTTTAGAGGTATTCTGATTTTTGTTCTGATTTTTAAAAAGTGTTCTGATTTTTGTTCTGATTTTTTAAAATTGTTCTGATTTTTGTTCTGATTTTTTAAAATTGTTCTGATTTTTGTTCTGAAATATTCTGATTTTTAAACTGTTCTGATATTTGTTCTGAAATTATTCTGATTTTTTGCCAGTGTTAACCTTGATTACTGTAATGTAGGAAGGTCCTTTGGAAATTATTTTTAAAAAGGCGCCATTAAAATAACGCCAACTCGCAAAAACTATACACTCTCACCACTTAACGTTAATCAGAGAAAAATAAATTTAGAGCACGCTTTTTATTTAATAAAAAATAGAGATGTCTCTCTTATTTTATTACACTATTTCTTTTATTTTTATCTATTTTCCTCTGTCGCTTATCTTTCGATTTTTCCTTTTTTATTTGCTTGACGGGCATTTTTGCTTGAGTAATTTTCTTTTTGATTTTTATTTTTAAGGAAGTTTTCTAATTAAAAAAAGATTTTCAATGGCTCCCCAACCAAAACAAGCGAAAGGAAAGACTGGAGGAGAGACGAAAGCGGTGGCAACTGCTTCCAAGGGTGCTTCTGACAGCAAAAAGCGTGTTGTAAAGCCGGGAGGGAAAGGTTTATTTTAGATTTTTTTGGGGTTCTCCAAGGTCGAACCTTACTACACGATACACCCAAAACTATGGACCTCTATGTAGGACGGTTTTAAATATGGTTGGCCACTGGGTGAGGGACAGGGATGGCCGTGTTATTCGGAATAGGATACCCGAAACCCGACTATTTTTCGATCTCGAAATCCTAAACTAAGAAATTTCGGAAAACCCGCTTCGAAGTCCTAGCCTAGGCTTTTTTCTCTACTTGGCCCCTCCCTGGTAGCTCCCTGCTGGGGAGAATCATGGGCGACACCCTCTATTTAACATAAACACACCCTATTGTAAGCGTTAATCATTCAGTCCCAAGGGGGATATCTTTAAGTGGGGGTGTAAGTGAGGCCCTTGCATCTTTAAGGGGGTGTCAGCTTGTACTGCTTGAACTTGTGGATATTTACTTTTTTAAATTTCAGATCGCAAAGCCGTCACCAAAGCTTTGGACGCAAAGAAGAAATTAGCCAAAGGAAAGTTTACTCTTCACAAAAAGAAAATCCGAACTTCTGTCCACTTCTATCGTCCATCTACTTTGAAGCAAGCCCGTGCACCTCGTTATCCTCGCAAAGCTGTGCCCAAACGCAACAAACTCGACGCTTTTGCGGTCATCAAGCATCCGCTTACGACGGAATCGGCGATGAAGAAAATTGAGGTTTTTTGAGGGTTTTGAGGGGTTGGGAGTCTTTTTTAGTTCAGTTTTGGGCAAGTAGAGGGTCTGGACTCTGGTCTAGGCATAGGTCTGGACTCTGGTATTTATCCTGGAAGTTTATGAGATAGAAAAGCCTAGCCAAATACAAGCAGATAGCTTGGGCTTGTTTATCTTATAGACTCAATGCCAAGGGTTCATTAACAACGAAGCATACAGACCAGGGGGAGGAGTCGGGTTATCCCGGCCCGTAACTCTGACTTTTCCGCTCGAAATCCGACCTGACTTTTTCAGCCCGTCTGTCCCAGACGGGCTGAACATATCTATCAGTCACTCTGTTAAGTAAATTGGAATGTGGATGGGATTTTAGAACCAATCACGCGATTATTGGGACCTTTTCTGGATTATTTTTTATTGAAAATTAATTCCGAGGGAGAAAGTTGAAGGGATTTAATCATCTTTTTGTCTAAAAACTAACTTAAAAAATCTTTTTCAGGATACAAACACACTTGTGTTTATTGTGGATGTTCGTTCGAATAAACATCAAATTAAGAGTGCTGTCAAGAAACTTTACAATATTGAAATTGCTAAGGTTTTTTTTAAAATTTTTCAAGAAATTCAAGCAGTACAAGTAGATGAACATGTTCATCTACTTGTACTGCTTGAAGTTGATGGACTTTTAATTTCTGTTAAATCCCCTGTTCTTTTAAAGGTCAACACTCTTATCACTCCTCTACACACTAAAAAGGCTTATGTTCGTCTCGCTGCGGATTGTGACGCTTTGGACGTTGCCAACCGTATTGGAATTATTTAAATTTGATTTTGTGTTAATGACAAAAATTGTTGGTTTTTAATGTTGGTAAAATATTTAAGTTGTTTATTTTGAGTATTTTTTGTGGGAATTTTACAAGAAATTCAAGCAGTACAGGTAGATGACCATGTTCATCTACTTGTACTGCTTGAATTTGATGTCCCGAAATTTGGTCATTTTCAGCCATTTTTGTGGGAGTTTTTCAAGAAATCCGAGCAGTACTAGTACCTGAACATGTTCATCTACCTGGACGTGTTCATCTACTTGTACTGCTTGAACTTGAGGGACTCGATTTTTTGGTAAATTTTTTGGTAAACAAAGGGTCCTAGTTAACAAATAGTTTAAATTAACATACTTTTTATTTGAAGTCCTCAATTCAATATTTGCCTGATCCTTAATTAACCACCACGGTAATCCGCCAAATTCAATTTCTGCACAGACATAGGGCCCAATACGGAGTAAAACATACAGACCATTATGTTGTGCAATGCGTAAAAATTCGACAAGATCTCGGTCTCCACCAAAGTTGAAACTGAAAAGGATTTTTACTTTTGTGGCATTTTGACCGTTTTTCGAAATTGACCATTTTGAAAAGTTGACATTTTGAAATATTTTTTAAAAATTTTTTAAAAATCGAAAACCTAGCTGGTTCCTCCTCGTGAAAATTCCAAGGAACATAAACTTGAACGGCATTGAGCCCAGCAGCTCTCACCTTGTAAAGTCTGTCGTGCCAAAGCCAGGGATGGATGTGAAAAAAAAGGGAAAAAATTAGTTGACATTTTGAAAAAAATTTTTTTTGAAAAAATTTGGGGGGAAAATGTAACGTTAACACCCCGAAGGTCTTCCCTCAACTTTATCTGCCCAAATATTTGGAGTTGTCCTATGGGGGAATTTGTTCAATAGGGTGTTGGCCAACTGGTTGGGGCCTTTTGGTTCGGCTTTCTGGGTGATTCCAAAAATTTTTTTAAACATATCCGAAAATAATGGATTTCTCCAGAAATATAACGAAACGGTTTTCCATCCATTAAAAAAACATTGGCTTCTTTGTCTATTGTAAAGGTTCTAGTCGTCTTTCCAATGGTTGTAGTTGTTATTTGTTGTAAATTTGCAATAGAAGAAAAAATAAAAATTAAAAAAATTGAAATTGAAATAGAAGCCATTCTTAAATATTAAAAAAAATTTTTTTGTTGATCAGTTTTGGAAAAAATAAAAAATTGAAGGTTCTGAAAGGAAAAACAAGTCAAAAAACCCCGGGAGGAGTCGAACCTTCGACCCTTTTCGATTAAATAGTGTTGTAGCCAAGGAACATACCGACTTAGCCAACAAAGGTGTTATAAGGAATTCTCAATTGTCTGCCTATATGTGTTAATTAAAAAGGTAAAGGCAGCAAGTGAATGCGAAAAGCAATTTATTAACCCAATTAAATGTGTTAATTCTTGTTTTAATTAATTAATGAACAGACGTTCAATAGACACCCCCGTTTTCGTATTTAATTAATAAAATAAAATGAAAAATAAAATAATCAACAATCAGTGTAAATGGAAAATGTAAAGAAAATATTAAAAATAAATAATTTTTTGTTCTCTCCCCCAAAATTTGAGACGCTAATTTTGCTTGTTTCAGTTATTTAAATTTTTTTTTCTTCATCTCGTATCCTTTTTCCATCTTCATTTTTTATTGTTTCAATTATAAGATTTGAGGGAGGGCAATTAATACAGGGTATACGGTATTCATCCCTTTTATTCTTAATCTCTTGTTCATACCTTATCTTCTCCCAATTCATTTCTTAGTTCTTAATAATTTTATTTTGCTATCTTGATAAAAACATTTTATTACTATTTGCTTTATTTTTTCAATGAAAAAATTATGCACATAAATTTGCTGATTAGCTACACAATATAAAATTGTTGGTTAAAATAAAATGAAAAAAGAATAAAATAAAAAATTAAAGGAATTAATAAAAATTTAAACAAAATTTTTTAAAAATTTATCCAAAAAATTTACGAGTTCCAAATATTTTAAAAATGAAATAATAATTTATCAAAAATTAACGGAGCATTTGAATGTCCATGTGTAAGTGTTAAGGGCCTATATTGGACAATACCTTTTTTGTTTCTCAACCGATTTGAACAATTTTTGGATCATTCGAAAGCTCTGGATGTCTAGATTATTATACCTAAAGGGAGTGATTCGATCAGAAATTTATAAGAAAAGTTACAGCTGGAGAAGTGGGCCCAATCGTGATTTTTGGCCTTTTTCTGGCTATAACTTTTTGTGTGATAAACTGAGCTGATCAGTCCTTTTGGAAATAATAATCCGCACACTCAGAGCTTTCGATTGATACAAAAATTATTCAAATCGGTTGAGAATTAAAAAAGTTATGGTCCAAAATAGACCCTTAGTATTCAAATGTATATCGTATCTTTCTTCTATCAAATTCTTCCCATCATCTCATCTTAATTGTTAGGATGGGTGTTTGTGTTTCTCGAAGGTTTTACACCTCTAAAGTATTCCTGAGGTTGAACAAGGAACAAAGAATGTTCTGTTTTCTCGATTAATTGCTCTACATCTAAGAAAAAATAATCAAGAAAAAAGGTCCAAGTCCAATCTCCTTAATTAGGGTTGCCGGTTCGGCCCGGTCCAAAAGTTCGAGTAGGGCATCGAATTTTGGCCCGAAGAAGACTCGGTCGGGCAGACCCGATAAAAATGACTTGAACGTCGGCCCAACTCGAAAACGGCAACTCCATCTCCTTATATACCTTGAGCGTGAGTTTGAATATCTAGCGGTTGAGTTTGCGGATCTGGAAGATCTGTAGGCGTGTAGGAAGGGATGGGAAGCTTATTATGCCTGAAAAGAGGGATGACTGTCTGACTACAAATTCAGAACTAACCTAGTTGAAAGATACCCTCTTGGAGCTGGATATTTTTTATGGACAGGGTTGACTGTAATAATATTTATTGGGGCATTAAGGGGTTGAAGAGGGTGATGCTTTGAATTACCACCCTTCCCACCTCCTTCAACAAGTTGAGAATAAAATTGAAGCAAAACGGCAAAAATAAAAATTTTTAAAAATTTTTGGGAAGGCATGGGAATCAATGAACAAATTTTTTTGCTATATAGAATTTTCAAAAGATCAACAAACATGTAAAAATAAAAAGTTTTGCATGTCTTCCATCTCCCAAAAAATATTCAAAATAATTTTTTTCAAAAATTTTTATCAAATAGATAGGTTACTGTAGAATCCGCTTAGACCAGGTTTTATAGACTGTTTTTAATGTAGTTTCGAATGAGATATAGTATATCCAAATCAGTCATGTATTCGCAGAGAAACACCTTTTTAGATCGTTTAACCCCCGCCTAAGCGTTTTAAATGCTGCTGTCGGTCTCGATTCTCGGTACTTTTTTAACTCCCGACCATCACTAATATATATACCAGGGTTCTCATCGACAAAATGCCCATCAAAAGTATCAAAATCTCGATTAAAAAGTATATAGGGAGAAAATTTGCAAATAAAAAGTAGTCTCAAAATTAAATTAGAAATTATTTATTCGTCCTCAAATCTTTCATATTTTTCTCCTAAATGAATCTTTTCTAATAATTTTTTGTTTCAAATGAGCATTTTGTTAATTTCAATGCACATTTTGTGGCGCCGAAGGCGCCAAAAAATCTATTTTTTGCGCCGCAGGCGAAAATTTTGAAAATTTTGGAGGTCCTTAAGCCAGATTTTTTCCATTTTTTGCGCCGCAGGCGAAAATTTTGAAAATTTTGGAGGTCCTTAAGCCAGATTTTTTCCATTTTTTGCGCCGCAGGCGAAAATTTTGAAAATTTTGGAGGTCCTTAAGCCAGATTTTTTCCATTTTTTGCGCCGCAGGCGAAAATTTTGAAAATTTTGGAGGTCCTTAAGCCAGATTTTTTCCATTTTTTGCGCCGCAGGCGAAAATTTTGAAAATTTTGGAGGTCCTTAAGCCAGATTTTTTCCATTTTTTGCGCCGCAGGCGAAAATTTTGAAAATTTTGGAGGTCCTTAAGCCAGATTTTTTCCATTTTTTGCGCCGCAGGCGAAAATTTTGAAAATTTCAAAGGCCGTAGGCCAAAAAAATTCACTTTTTTGCCCAATCCCTTCCCCAATTTCATTTTCATTCAAAAAAAGTATATACTTTCAAAAAAGTATAAATTCAATTTCGTAAGCATTGAGGTCGATTTAAAAGTAGAATACTTTTAAATAAGTATAAATGAGAACCCTGATATATACCAATTATTTATTTTATTAAGCGTTGACATAAATGGATAATTATAACGTTTATAATTGCTTCTTAAAAATTTTAAGTAATAATTTTTATTTAATTTACGTCGTTTAAATAAAAAAATTTTTTATACATTTACATATTTAATACGCTTTTTGCCATGCTTAAGAAACAAAAATTTGGTCTCAAAAAATTTATTTCATCATCTTTTAGTAGAAAATTTCGTTATTAAATACCCAAAATTTTTTAAAATTAAAACCCCCAATTGAATATGCACCCTCTATTTAGTATGTAAATCAGAGGTGGGTCGGAACATTCAGAGGTGTCGGAAATCGGAAGAGCGGAAATCGGAACTGGCTGAAAAATCGGAACTCGGAAATCGGAAATCAAATAATTTTTTTCGGAAATCGGAACTGGCTCAAAAGTCGGAACTCGGAAATCAAAAATTTTTTCGGAAATCGGAACTGGCTCAAAAGTCGGAACTCGGAAATCAAAAATTTTTTCGGAAATCGGAACTGGCTCAAAAGTCGGAACTCGGAAATCAAAAATTTTTTCGGAAATCGGAATTCCGACCTACCTCTGATATAAATAGACTTTAGCCTTATATATATAAATTTCAGCCTCAGGAGTTATAACCTTATTTAAAAGGTAGGGCCAGAAAAATTTTTCCTTCCCATAATTAAGTATTTTCCAATATTAATTTAATTTTAAAAAATATTTTGAAAAATTGCGAATATTCTCAGACATAAATTTAAAAA